GGAAAAAAGATTCTTAAAAAGGGGCCCAACTAAGTCAAATAAATCAGTGTTTTGGCACCACAACAACACGGTTTTCGTTCTGGACGGTCCTGTTTAGCAAACCCCAGCGGGAGAGAGGAATGGGTTTCAGTTGGTGGTCACGAGCTGCCAGTAGACGCCGTGTTCACAGTCTTCATTAAGGGATGCAACAAAGCATCGCATCTAGAATTACTAGGAGAGCTCTTCTCTTTCGGGCTTCGTGCCATACACCAAGCTTGAATCAGGGACTTTCTGAACGACAAAAGACTTAAGCGTTACCACAAGTCATAATTTTAAGACTTTAGCACGTTGCAATACAGCTTCAGAAGGACGCTTTCGTGTGTTATGATCCATTGACGGAGCTTTAAAATGCTTTGGTCGGGGTGCGTCCAGGATACTACGCTCCATCGACGTCGGACTTCATCTAGAAAACTGCATTATGGAGGCCAGTCAATGCCTAAAAGAAGCTATCGATGTTCCAGACCTTTCACATCTGCCCTATGATGAACAACTAGGTCGCCTAAGCTTATTCTCGCTGTCATACCGTAGGAAATGGAGTGATATAATACTGACATTCCATGTCCTTAGTGATGACTAGTACTGATATGTCCAGTCCTTTCTCCCCTGCTAGGGTTTACTATCTCCGTGGACATGAGAAGAAAATCCAAAAACCGCGACTGAATCGGCTTCTTGTGGACCTACATTTCTCCTACCATGTGACCAGCAACTGAAAAATCTTACCACAGTGATTAGCATCAGCATGTTTGATGAATGTGTTCAGGGAGTGACTGGATCTTCACAGAGGTATTTTCAGCAAGGATTAACCAGCCAAGTGGCCCACTATCCTTATCATTGAAAAATGAAAACTAAACCTTTCCACCAGACCTAGTTGCGAGAGCCAAGAAATCGATTAGTTTGCAAAAGCTTGTGGAATGAAACAATGCTTGCCTGCAAGCTTGATGAGTGTTTACTTTTTGACGAAGTACACTTGCGCGTCTATTTATAACCAGCGTTTGTGTACTCTGCACAAGGACCCTTCATAGCTGTGAAACTACCAGTAGTGAGCACAAAAGAGCAAACTGATTCATATAAACCATTTGAAACTATTTAGCGGAGGCATTTAATATTGAATGTAAGTGGCAGAAGGATAATTGTTCCTCAAGGTCATTGGATGGAAATGTGAGTTTCGTGTTGGTGCATGCCATATTACAGGGGTCAGTTCACCAGACAGACCCAAACACCATATGGTGAAAATGTTTCGACAAAAGCTAGTGTACATCTTCTGGAGAAATATTGCAACTAGTCTTCTGAGTATTCATGGAATTCTGCGTGTCTAGTTTACTAGATTTGTATTTCACAAGTATTTCCCCAAATCTCGATTACTTTCGTAGAACCTCGGAAATCTACACAATTTACTAGGATTCTAAGTACACTACAAATTGTCATGACTCCGTTCTATCTAATATCCCGCAGCCACCATGACTTCAGTTTTTAATAACCCGTGAATACTAAACAATTGTTTGAAATACTCGTTGTATGTAACCACACTTCATACCCCGGAACACAATAGCGTGAAACGTTTATGTCACAGATCCACATATAAACACGAAGGATACAGGAATTTACCTTCATGTACATTTACGTCAATTCGAATATATGTGAAGTACTTAGTTATTACTTTGAATTTCATCAAGACTTGTGCCCTAATTATGCGAAAGACATAAAATCAAAGCAGCTGAAATATCTCAGAAGTCTTGAGCTTTCGTGTAACTTCGTATACATCTGTGTTCATTAGTTTGCCCACCGAGATCCAAGATCTGCTTAACGAGCTTGTGTAAACTAGTTGGTTTCTTCTTGATCACTTCTCGGCCTTGCGGAGCGATTTCAGGTCTTTGGCGGATTTCGGTGCAATAGACCCAGCCACTAGTCTGCTGTGGCTGTGGTATACAGGATAAGATGTTAAGTGTTGGCTAGTTTACCTTGGACTGTGGTGCAGTTGTGTTCTTCAGATGTCAAGTTGCCAGACGGTTCTTCGGACTGGTCGTTAGAGAGAGTGGAGAGAAAACGTAGAAAGACAAATGTATGTGAGTAAAAGGCAAGGAAAAGTGAACTAATAGAGTAATCGACACACACCCAAGTAAGGCTAGGGAGGTGCAAAGATATGAAAAACTTAGATAGGCGAGGTTAATCCACAGCAAGTGAAGCGGATGGAAAGAGCGTAAACGATTTTAGTAGAAAGAAAACTGGTGTAGAGGTAACATAGTTGGAATGGCGTGACAGCAGTTGATTGCTTCTTTTCAGTTCGTTTTCCAACTACATGTGGGTAGACCGCGGTTATCTGAGTGACTATCTAGCCTTTTCTTGAAACTTTTAACAGAAGGAGCGGAGACTTTCTCTACTGGTAATGCATTCCAGTGCCCGCGGATTCAAAGGAAGAAGTGTGAATGCACACGAGTTTTTGATCTTTGGTGGGTAATTCTCTTGGGGTTTCCCGATATCAGTGAATTCTTAAAATATTAAAGGTATGTGGCATAATACTACTACATGACTTCGCGCAAATATATTTAAAAAAACACTATGGCAAATATTGGAAATATGTAAACAGCACAGTTCAGTTTATGCTTAAGGATTTCTCAGTAGTATTAGATATCTTTGAGACACTTGTAAGCACTACAAACCCATTGCCAATACTGGATGTAGCAAAAGTAACAAAGCACCATCTTCTGAACAAAACATTCAGGTTGATTAGGTCTGTCGTGTTCACCTTTTAGTTTTGCCATCGATAATATTCTTGAGATGTCTGTGAATATGTTACGTGATTGGTTTCTACTAGTGTTGTCTGTGATGTTGGAGAACTGAAGCGTGATTGTTTGCCATTTGAACGGTTCGAAATATTCCACCCACCTTTCTGGCTGCCTGGTTTGAAACGTTATCACGGTCTCATCTTCACCATTTATCGTCTTCTCGCCGGTATCCTTGATAAAAATTAATGACTGCTGGGTGTTGCCTGATGTTGATCCCTTATCTATCTCTTTCACCACTGCTCCGGATCATTGTGAAAACTCTTAGTCAATTTATGTTTGAGGTGCTTTCTCTCCTCCTTGTGGTCAGAGTAAGCTTGATCGGGTCATAGGTCAATCAGTTCAAATGAGGTTGCGGGAATCTTTGGGTGTAGTTTACCAACTCTTTATCACTGTTTTTACAGCAGGCTTATTTACAAGCCACGTTTCATCTGGGTAGGAATTACTGCCATTTAAGGATAAACGCTTTGTGTCTCCTTTGTACATGCAAATGACGTTCTCAGTTTCCACTCGAGCACACATACTTTATTTCTCTTTCTTGCCTCTTTGAAGGGCTTAAGGTGCGTGCTGGTGCTATTACGTGATCGGTGCTCAGGCAAATACTCTCGAAAAGATGTGGTCATTCACCGATCCTCTTCAATGCGTGGAGCTGTGGCGCATCGGTTCAGAGAGGAGACTATCAAGCAGCAGATCACCGACTCGAACACCGCTCCACTTACCGAGGTTTCAGTACCCAGGTATCATTAGCTCTTAAACAACAGGTGTAACCCATCGTCTGGTACATAAGCATGCACAAGTTTGCTGAGTGCAGTTCTTTTTTTCATCGTTCGATCCTTTTCAGTGATGGTTTATGACAAAATGACCATATGTATCCATTATTGCTTTGGAATAGTGGGATGCCAAGTAAGATAGCGTCTGCGTATACTTGTGGTTAGTGATGACCAAGAACAAGTTAGCCAAGACAAAATTCTAGCAGACGATCACTGCTGTCAGTTTGTTAGCAAGGGATACCGTAGGTAAGTCCCATATGCCCTTCTGATTAGCTCCTCTTCCCTAATTGGGCGTTGGGGCTGCCTGCTGTTGTAACCCAGAGTCTGCAACTACCGCTTTCGATTTCCCCACCGGTCGCAACTAGAAAATCTTCGTTTCCCTACAGTGAAATCTCTCGTTATTCGGTGGTGTGACAAGCAACAGTGATCAGTCCTTAAAATTTGCTGTTTTGAAGCACAAAGCATTCTCTTTGACATGCTTTCGAACCAAGCAATGGATGGTCTTTTTAATGGCCCAATAACTATATTGGTCCGAATAATTGGCCGACAGCTGACTACTAAATTCCAAAACTTGGTTAAGTGAACTAGACTGATAATAGCGTCTTAACAATATCTCTATTATTTCAACTTATTCGGAGACATTAAATGGTACTGACAATGTTTGGTGATGGTGTTCATAGGTGTTGATAATATGCGATAAAAGGGCTTGCCCGGACCACCGAACTTTTTGATTTCGAGGTTCAGGAATTATTCAAACGCACTGTCCTTAATGAGCATCGACTCAGTTCCTGAGATACAAGAATGGTTACCGGATATATATCATCGTCTTGTGACTGTAGTTGATTAAATTGGCAGCGATGAGCTTCAGGCTTGGATGAATCATATAGTAGTTTGCTAAGACTGTCATGTTGGTGCGTCGTGTGTGGTGCAGGTTATCTTTATGTAGGAGAATTTCATGACAAGATGCGAGAAGGTATATGGTGGGCATTCTTAGTTGCGGAACGTTTCTGAACTCTTGCAGAATGGTAGGGTGGCAGATGTGCTGGTTAACAAGTGAGCATATTTCTACTGTTGCATATCTTTGCAACTTGTAGTACTCTTATGTATCTGAACTCCATCATTACAGTAAGTCCTCACACCATGAATCCACAAGCTGTCAGCCTCAGCACTCTTATAAGTTTTCACAAGTTAATAAAGCCTCAAAGGAAGGAAGTATCTGAATTAGTGCCACTTAGTTGGGCGTGTACGATACAAATTCAGGTAGTATCTTACTGTTGTTGACCGCAGCTGGGTTTACTCAACTCTGGTTTGTAGTTATTTCTGCTCACTTTCTTTCCTCAGATTATTCAATTTCCAGTGGAAGACTGATTCTAGCTGACTGAGCGTCTATAGATAGTTTCTTGGATGAGAAATGTTGCGGAAAGGTTATGTGAATGGGTTACGTGCTCTTCGATTCGGGAAAGCGAATTACACTCAATATGCCAAATTCATATGCCGGCCTTATTCTATTTGTAATGGAGGATGGCACACTCGTTACACATTTTTGGATAGATCAAAAATGCAACCAACATCATTCCAGGTAAGATTTTCATATGCTTCATAACTCGAAATATCTTTTATAAATATAATAGAAGCGCGTTCTATACGTACGTGATTAAATTTCTGATATTGTGTTTAAAAGCAGGATATCTGTGCTAAGTATACTACTTTCACAGTCAACAAAGGTTTGAGTCACTTAAGGCGTGATAGTTTCGTTTCACATGAGGTTTAGTATTTGAAGGTGGATGTTTTATTACAAGGATTGAGAACTTCATCTTTAAGTAGAGGCTAAACAATTCCTTTCATGGGAATACGAACCTATTCAGGCAAAAATCTTCTTCTAAGTTATCGTTCTTGAAAGCTTTAGAATCTTAGTTATATTTCCTACATGCACCATTTTAATCATAGAATAAGATTGTCGTTGGCGCATTGTTCACCATCAGAGTATAAAGTTGTTTGCAGAGGCTGAAATAGATTGTATTATATTTCATAACGTAGTGAAATTAGTAAGGAAAGTATAGAATTTGACTAAGTGGAAATTGTTCCCAGTTGCAAAACGGTTGGGTTCACGTTTAACAAATGTAAGGAAGATAGGAGAAAAAAGCGAAAGTCACAATGAAACTTCTCGTAGGAAATCTATAATTAATGTTAAAATAAATTTATCAGATGGGAATTAAGACCGTGATAAAGGAAGAGACCGAACTTACCACCTTTGTACACAATTCAGGTTTAAATCAGAAAATCACTGGTGCCCTGGCTGTGCAGAAACCGTAAGTTCTTTGAACCACTTTACTTGGTAGATAATTTTGCTGGGACTGTAAGTAGCAAAGAATGAATGTCGAAGCATAAGCAAACAGTGGTTGTAGTGATCTGGGTAGCTTCTTCTTAGGATATCATGGAGCTGTGGCTCTTTGGTTTAGGTAGTTGACTTTCAACCAGTTAGTCACGGCTTTGAGTTCCGCTGCGCTTACCAAGGTGTGGACAGCCAGTTAGTATCACTAGCCCTCACACAGAATGTGTGACTTATTGCCTGGTGCATAAGCGTGTACAAGTTTGCGGGGTACACTTCGTCTCGTTTTAAAAAAAAAATTCTGCTTGACTTCTGCCTCTAAAGTCCAACACTCATAAACAAAGGCGCTTTTGGAAACATAGCTTTTTCTGGGCATGTTGTTTGGCGACAAGAGTTTACTGCTTTTGGACATGATATTATATTGGAAAGGAAGTCTAGATCACTAAGTCTTCCTCTCCTTTCACTGTAGTTTAGTAATTTCCTTTCCACTGACGCTTGATACCTCCTAGTGATAAGTTTAGTAGAAATGTTGTCACCACGTTACATTTTCATTTCCGTATGCTGAGTATATGATAGTGTACATGAACAGCGTTTTATTCTAGTTTCATTAACTACAGTGATTGATGACTGCTAAGTAGTATTCTTCACAGACTGGCATAATTTGGACAACCATTAAAATCCTTGGTTCTCTGGACATCTGTTTCGTCGGGTGATTAAGGAAATAAATAGTCATTGTTCACCTTTGGTAGGTAGTTTCTTAACTGTCTCCTAATGGGGCGACATAAACCGAATCATTGCATCTCCTAATGAATGTTCGCTCTTATGGGATGCATCCCAGTGCTTATTGATCTGGACATGCATACAAGTCCCTAAAATTTACACATACGGCGGAGAGTAACTCACTTTTGATGGCATTTAGTACTATCTTAATAGCCAATAGCTAACTTCTCTGCAACTCTACCAAGGGCAGTGTTTGTAAGGGTCGCTTACCAATACCTTTCAGGTCTTGGTGTGGGCATTATTTTAAAAGACGAACTCTGAATCAGTCAAATTAGAATCTAGCACAGTAGTGCGTCAGTCTATGTAGGTGGCCACACCACATAGCAGCATGCAAAAAAGAAGTGGATGACAAAAGTGATAATAACGTTGACAAAATGTATTATGGTTGAGAGAATAAATTGGTGAAGCTTAATGGAAATAGCCAAAACTTTGAAGATGACAAATAGTGTGTGAATCTACACGATTGTGACCGATTTTGAGTCATATCACACAGAATTTCAAACCATTGGTTTCCAATATTTCAAGGACCCCAACCAGGTAGTCTATGCCTCCCTATACAGCTCAGACTGTCAGTCAAAGGCCTGGTGGACTGGTATAGCCACCCTTAGCCTTCCTCCAAACCTATCTTTTTTCGTTTGAAGTCACATATTTTAAGTAGGCGGTATCTTGACATGCTCATTGGCTTCAAAGGAAAGCTTAGCTTCTATGTGGTGAGTTCTTGAGTCGATTGGAGTACGACAGCAGCGTAACTCTGTTATATAAATGTGCTGATAAAGTGCAAATTTTTAAAGGGTATGAATAAGTATTTTAGCTGTTTGAACACAATTCTTCAGGCATGATAATTAGGGGAAGTTGACACAAATGTGGATGCGAAGTGCCACGGTAAATTATAGTAGTGGCTGTCATTCAGAGCGGAGTTGAGTGTTAAAAAAAGTGGCCAGTTGGTTTGGGTGTCAAGTCAACTGAGTTTTCATTTACTCCCTTAAGCATGACTGACACTTCATCAGTTTTAGGACATGGAATTGCCATTTGACGATACAACTTAACACATTTCACATTGTCACGAAAATCGAATAAATGGCAATATTAAAAGTAGTAGAGGACTATAAGACGAAAAGAAAAGGAGTAAGCAGAAATAACCAAATATGATAAAACGATTGGAATGAAGATTATATACAAATGCATCTGTGTTGGTGTAATCTGTCAGGCTATTGGCTTAATCATCTGACTTTCAAGCAATGAGTCTAGTTATTAAACACTGCTTGTGGCCTAGACTACCGGGAGTAGGACCACAATCCCTATAGCCCAAGTCAAAGTAAGTAAAGCAAGGTTTGAACCCAGAAATCATTGCTTGAGAGTCAAATGATTGAACTAAGGTCATCTTGACTTTCAACTGGTAGGCAATGGGTTTGAACTATGCTCCACCTACCTATCTGTGTGGATCAAACCAGTAATAAAGGGCTTTATTTACTAATGCCATGTTTTCATTTGATCACTGTTAACTTTTTATCCCCTAAAGTCTATTTCAGTTAACATAGCATATCGAATAAGACTGTGACTAAGCATACTTCACATATTTCTCTGCAACCTCAGTCCATGGCGATTCAGACCCTCAACGACCGACCTTTTTTTGTCTAGTTCTCGGAGCATAACCCTAAATACAACAAAGTAATCACTGCTAAACAAAAAGCACTAGGAATAATCTTACGAACGGAGCTGCTGAATCAAATAACCACACCCATAAGCTTAGCCACGAAAACCAAAGTAGAGGAGAGTAGCGAAGAAAAAAGCTGATAAACCCATTGCTCAAAATCAGTGGAAAAGAAGAAGAGTCTTCTAGGAAGAACATTATCCCTTAAAAATGCCATGTGCTTCAGAAGGGATGCAACTGTGTTTTACTACTGTGTAAGCTTTACCTCTTCGAGGTTACTGTGATGACACATTGTTACAGTTGTTCAGCAGCTAGTTATTCTGTCGGTGGAAATCGAGGAAAAAACCAGAATGAGTTCAGCAACCACATACACGTGCGTGCAGTTAACATTGAGCCACACCTACCATGTAAGGGCTAATAGTAGTAACTAGCCCCCCAAGAATTCTGTAGGTGGAGTGAATCTCTCACCCGTGACCCACTCTTTGGAAGTCAGGCGTCTAGATCAACGAGCCATATCTCCATGAGGTAGGAAATCAGTGACTTCACTAGTGTTGGATTATATCATTGGGATACTACCAACAGACGAAAGAAGGAAAGGCGTCGTCATAAACTAAACAGATTTCATGAGAAAGACATGAAAAGTGCTCCACTTTGAAAGCACTTACCCAGGAGTAGGTAAGAATACAACTCAACAACTAGATGACGGAATTCCAGGTTATCTAGTCAAAGCTAGTGAAATCGTGAGAAAGGAATGGAGAAGGGTGAGAATAAACGACCTAGTTCTGTCATGATTTTACCGTTGATCAGAAATACATGAAACAGGTATTTCCTCTAGACTAGTTGTCTTACTACAGAAAGCGCCATCATCTACTTTATGGAAGGAATTGTACAGAAAGCTCAGAAAAGTTGTCGATTCAACCATTCTATTTCTGGAGTAAATAAAAGATGCCAAAGTAGACAGTGAGACGAAAAAAGGTAACTTTCGACGTGACTGCACTTTTCACATCAATCAACACATAGGTCACTAGAGTAGTGGTGATTTTATTCTCAACGATCGTCGGCATATTTAGAAGTATAGATGGCACGCCTTTGTGCCGTGACCTACTTTAAGTTTAACAGGATGACCTTAAGAGATAGCTAGGTAATTGTAATAGGTTCACCAGCATCACGACTTATCACTGAAGCGGTAATGCAGAGGTTAGGATTCAATAGTCATTTTAATAATCAAACTACTTCCAACTGAATTTCTTTCGCAGCTTAATTGATTAATTTTCTAGTCTATCGCTGCTACCTTGTCCACCTCCCTAGTCTTCTCTGCTTACCACAGATCACGGTTATTGCACAAACTCTTAGTCAACTTACATTTAAGTTGCTTCCACTTCCCGTTGCACTTGGAAGCTGCAGCAATATTTTAACATCCAGGCTTTAGTTTGAATGAAGCTGACAATATCCACTGGTTTTCTGTTAGCTTTTTTCTTGCGGGTGTGTTTGTGTGTTACTCTAGAGTGGATGAGCAACATTGTAATGCCCCACTAAGTGTTCATCCAGTTTCTCCCTAAAGAAAGACAATATATATTCATTTAAGGGTTGACCTGAAAATAGTCTTCTTACTTCGATTCAGGTACAGACATGTATCTGGTCACTGTCTAAGCATGCCCTTCAGAAGGAGAGAGAAGCCTATGGTGATTCTATTGAGGGGTAAATGATAGCCATACGGCTTATCTGTGTCCATTGTTGAGTTGGTAGCCATCATATCAAACAGTGTGTTTTATGTCTGGAATTCATGCTGGCTAGAAATAGTTCGTTGTCTGATGATATTGTATCAAGCGATTGCCGTTATCGATTCGCTCGATTAGTGAAGTGAAAAACACTTCGTATTATTTCCTGCTTGCTAACCTTACGAATCAGTAATTTTTGTCATCTTTCCGAATTTTTTGTATCACATATTTTTTGGTTTTATAGTCGATAACTACTGTTTTACGTCTAACTTAACTGATATTAACAACGTTGTTTCTTTACGTTATTAAGATTCAGGTTATCCAAAACCGTATACTATCGAGTAGTTCAGGCAAAAGTCCTTCAAAGGATGATACTGAATATGATCAAAATTCTGAAGCTGTGTCAGATGCTGATGGATCGGATTCACCACCTCCACCACTGGCTTTATCTACTCAAAATATCCCCGAGAATTTTCCTATTGTACCTGTGATTGCAATAACTGGTGCACCTTTGTTCCCGAAATTTATTAAAATGATTGAGGTAGGTATGACTGTTCTGTATATACGAATTCTCCAAGTAACCAATTTCCAAATGTATCATTTTTGCATATCATCTACTTTATGGCGGATGGTATTGACTGTTGTTGCCACTGGCTGAGATCAGCTTAGTCAGTTATCTGCAGAGATGTCTATTGTTTCTATCTTACTTGATTGTTACGAAAGTTATGACAGTGTTTCAATTACCTAACGTTTCAAATACCCAATGTCGAGTTGTTTTATTCACCTGGTAGTCCTAAGGAAAGTAAAGTTTAAAGCTTAGAGTTTCTGTTTTGGTTAGTTTCTACTCACTTATAGTCTACTTTTTACCCAATTTAACCATTTCTTTCGAAATCTAATAAATCTGAGATACTTTAAAATCTTTGTATCAAGAAATATTATAATGTATCAGGGACTGCAGCCATAGGAGGGTCAAAACCAACGCATATACTGATATGCACTTATAAGTGAATATTGCTCAAAGCAGCAAATACTAATACGTCACTTTTTAAAAATGGACATGAAAAAGTTGTCTAATTAAGATGAGATGAAAGCTTTATAGCAGTTATTATTGTCAATAGTATTTGTTTTCAGTTATGCATTTTATTCTTAGGTGTCAGTTTAAGCCACCAATTAATAGTGTATACTTGCAGTTTTCGTAAGAAATTGTACGGAGTACTGTTGATCGAAGTGTTCAAGAGACAGAACGTGGTTTAGATATTAATTGATACTTGTGATTTCCCGTTGTTATATTGGGTCGAATGGGATATAGACTCCTATGTGGATGCCTTTCTGTTGCCTGAAGATTCGTTATGCCTTGGTAGCCTGGTAAATAGCATACTGGTGTTTGAAGCGATAGGTGCTGGGTTTAAGTGTGAGTAGTAACACCATCACTCGCTGTAATTCTGGTACATTCAGCTGACGAATCGCAAATAGGACGAAACACGAGTTCTGGATTTCACTTCTAGCCATCACCAAGAGAAATATAACGTAGCGGTCGAAATATCTTGATTTCCAAATGAAACTACGCGAGAATTTCACGTTTGTATATCACTTAATTATGTCATTCTCACCTCAGTCTGTGTATCCTGCTTAGTCTTTGTTTGTCTCATAATCATTTAATACTATACTGAAGTAACTGAGTGAAAGTGACTGACAGAATAATACGAAATATAAGAACGCTAATAACCTGATGACACGCTTGGACTAGATACGAATAGCAACTGTTCTCCTTTTAGACCTGATACTTCACTGGACCGCGGAAAGCAAAAGACAAAGATCGGACTATGACTAAGGACGACACTTTATTTGACAAGAACACATCGCTTGACTACAGTTCTTCCTCAGATTATAAAGCCACTAGGTCAGAAGTTGGATACTTATTTTGATTGGTCAGCTGTAGGGCAGAATTGCCCAATCATGTTTTTCCTGCCCATACAGTAACACGAAACAAGGTTGAAGACGTAAACTACTAACTTAACGGCTAACGACTTACACTATTGATTTCGAGTTTTGCTACTTCCTACTACTACTAAGCTTTTATATTACTAGAGAAACGATAACTGGTTTTCCCTGTATTCATGTATGGCATAACTTATGACTGTATATACATGTAATTATTTGTCTCGTTTAGCCTACATTTTCATATATGACAATTGTATATTACCACATTTAGTACATACACTAAGATCACGAATTTTTGTTCTCAAACTGACGATATTCAAATAAAAATTGTTTAGTTCACTACACCCTCTAGTATTGCTAAGATTGACTTTCATGTAAAAAATTTTCTGCTTTGAACTATCCACTTATGTTTCACTTTTTTTCAAAAAAAACTCTCAATATGGCACATAATAATTGTTATCGTATCATAAATTTCAATCTATAACTATTTAGATCACTGATGAACGATTAATAAATTTGATACGCAGAAAAATCAAATTGAATGCTCCATATGCAGGAATATTTCTGAAGAAGTCGAACACAGAGTAAGTCATATACTTTCATACTAAATCCTTTGAAGAGTTGGTAATTATAAAAGGCATTTCTGAAACTATCATTACTTATGTGTATACACAGGATTTACTGAGACTTGAAGACCTGTAGAATACTCTTTTTGCTGATAGGCTACTTCCTTTTTTTTTGTCTTATGCTCAGAGCACTTTGATTTCCAGTCTTCCATTATTATTATTATTATTAGTCCCTTGAGTTCCTAGTGGAACATAGGGCTTCAGTAGCACGTCTCCAGTGACCTCTGTTCTCTGAGATCTTTCGAACCTGGTCCCACGACAGCCCAGAAGCTCTCATTTCCTCCTCGCACGATCTCCTCCATATCACCCTCAACTCGGACCTCCAACTCATCGCTTCCCATGGGGATTCCACTCGAGCAACTGGCCTGACGCCTGATGTCCCCAGTCGGCCTTCTCAGTGCATGCCCAATCCATCTCCACTTCCTCCTGCATATTTGTTGCGTGATAGCTTCCTGCTTGGTTAGTTCGTTCCCAGAGCTCCTTGTTGCTTATTCTTTCTGGCTGTCCATCTGATCTTCAGTATCGAGCCAGCGTAAGCAGTTGTCGATGAATGTCTGTAGTTTATTGGAAATGCCTTTCGTGACGCGCCAAGTCTCTGAACCATATAGAAGCACTGACTTGACGTTGGTGTTGAAAATCCGTATCTTGTTGGGCATGCTGAGTGCAGAAGATCTCCACACTGGTTTCAGGCTAATGAACACCTGTCTTGCTTTTCCGATCCTGGCTGACTTTGACGTCCTCGTCTGTCCCGCCTGTAGTTGAAACAGTGCTTCCTAGATAAGTGAAGGGGGTTACTTCCTTTAAGTTTCTCCCGTTGACGGTGATTGGAGTTTTTTGTTGTTGGTGGTGGTGCGGTATCTTCATCACTTCTGTCTTCTCTATATTCACCTGAAGTTCCGTCTTCGCTGCCTTGCCTCTTCTGTCAACTTGTTAGTTTTTGCCTGTAGATCTTCAAGTTTATGTGACATCAGGCACAAGTCATCACTGGCGAAATCCAAGTCTTCTAGGTTCTTTTCGGCAGTCCAGTGTATCCCCCTCTTCTCGCTGCCCACTGTTTGCTGCATGATCCAGTCCAGTTGACCACAATCAGGAATATCATGGGTGATAGTAGGCAATCTTGTTTCACTCCTGTCTTCACTTCAAAATCATCACTGAGCTTCCCATTGTGAATTACTTGGCATGTGGCATGATGGTTAATTTTTATTTCAGAATAACTGAAATTTCATTCTTTCACAGTTAGATTATTTTGAGTTTTGAAAAGACTTCAGAAATCATTTTATAAATTTCTGTAATGTAAATAGAACGTCTCCAGTGTATTGTTAAGAAGACGAATATTTGGTGTCTATTATGTATTTTCATCGAAGTACAATTTTCCCTACATAAGTTTATTCTATGAGTAAACTACACATCAGGATAGTTTTCGAAGCATAGTTTATTCTTCATAATAATATCAAAGTAATCATGGGACTTTCTGGCTTGGTGTTTACAGTTCTTAGGTCTTCTGTTTTTCATCTCAAGCACAGCAAGATAGGTGCAGTGTTATTCCTTTTGTCAGAGATGTAGGCATTGATTCAGTAAACAAAGATTTGATTGTCAATCTTTACCCCTAGCCAATTGGGTTACTTTTTAGTGTTATAATTCTTTCCCATTCTGTTGTTTGTTATTGCTTACTTGGGTATACTCATTTTTCTTTTCTTCTGGAGATCCCTTATCTCATTCGGGTTTATCTATCATAATCCATCAAGTACAAAACGTATGTTATTAATTCGATATCATTATGAGAGATAAACTATGCCTAAAACGTTATTCAGTATCACTGTATGATGTATCCATCGAAGCAACGAACTGTTATTGAATCATCTTCAACTAGAATGACGAGAGTCTATTTACTCTTGTATCGATTTAATTATAGCGTTTTACACCAAAAACAACTTACGGATATAAAACAACTATACATGAACCTTTTATGTGGAGGAGAAATTGTTAGAAAGGGGACTCAACACACTTTGAAGTAAACGCTTCCTGCAGATACGTATATTTTGACAATCAAAATATATTACCAGTATGTCTGAGGGATAAAATTTCTGTTTCATTCTATATTCATAAATTCAATTAATTCTTTTCAATCATTTACTTGGGGTGCGCAGTGCACAAAACCCTATCAAGACCTCTAATCGAAACATCCAACATGTGCTCAGCAACCATACGCACGTGTATAGAGTAGGCAATAAGCTACACCTATTGTTTGAGGCCTAAGGATATTACTTGATTGCCTGAAGCTTGGCAGGTGGAACGGGACTCGAGCCCGTGACCGACCCGTCGACTGTGAAAGTCAACAGCCTATACCATTCAGCCATAACACCGGTGATCAAAACCTAAGATCGTCTTCCTATATAGCTAGTGAGGGGTAAGATGAAGGTCACAAGTTCCACTCGATCTTGTTTAATAAATACTGGTTGTATTGTCGATAGTAAGTTTGATTGATGGTAATGATCGATAGTGGCTACCGACCAACGACGATAAACTACAAGGCTGAATGATATACGCCATTTTTGATGCCGTCATTGCATTAACGTTGCTGTAAAGGTTTTGGACAGTCTCTTTAGGTGCCTCATAACTTCTCGAATGAGGTCCAAGAGCCCGTGAACCTCAATATCTTGAGATGATAGTAGACAAAACCCGAGAGCGAAACTGCAGCTTTCTTGTTTCTTCAGTTGCTAAAAATTAAAATAAAAGTATCGAGTGCTTCTTTGGATGCATCATTCAGACCACTTCTGTTTCGCTTTGTATTCTTGCCTCATTTCTTGCGTCATCTTATTCGTCCCTTGGGTTCGCAGTGGAACATAAGGCTTCAGTAGCACGCCTCCATTGCACTCTGTTCTCTACAATCTCCTTAACCTGGCTCCACCACTGCCCACAAGCTTTCATTTCTTCCTCACATGATCTCCTCCATGTCACCCTCACACCTCGCATGTCCAACCACTCGTCGTTTCCTCTTCGGATTCTATTCGAGGGCCTGGTGTGGCGCGTGATGTCCCCAAACCGTCTTCTCAGTGTATGCCCAATCCAATCCATCTCAACTTTCTTCTTCTGCATATCTGTTGGGTGATAGCTTATTGGTTGGTTTGTTGCCAGTCAGAGTTCCTTGTTGCTTATTCTTTCTGGCCATCTCATCTGATCTTCAGTTTCGAGTGAGTGTAGGTGGAAGCTGTCTATGAATGTCTGTAGTTTGTTGAAAATGCTTTTCGTGAGGCACCAAGTTTCTGAACCATATAGAAACACTAACTTGATATTAATGTTGGAAAGCCGGATCTTCTTCTTTATGCTGAGTGCAGTGCTGTAGATCTCCACACTGATTTCAGATTAATCAACACCTGTCTTGCTGTCCTTCCGATCCTGGATTCCACATCCTCATCTGTGCCTGTGCCGCCTGTAGTTGAAACGATGCTGCCTAGCTAGGTGAAAGAGACTACTTCCTTTAGATTTCGCCTGTTCATGATGATTGGTGCTTCTTGTTCTTGTTGTTGTTGCTGCTGCTGCTGGTTGGGTACCTTCATCACCTCTGTCTTCTCTACATTCACTTGCAGTCCCGTCTTTACTGCCTCCTCTGTCATCTACTTGGTTTTTACCTGTAGGTCTTCGAGTTTGTGCGATATTAGACACAAATCATGATCGGGCGAAATCCAAATCTTCTAGGGTGTTTTTCATCGGTCAAATAGCGTATGTCCATCCTATCTCTCCTCACAGTTTGTTGCATGATCCAGTCCACCACAATCAAGAAGATCATCGGTGATAGTAGGCAGCATTGTCTTACTCCTGTCTTCATTTCATTTCAACGGCATCAATAAGGTTTCCGCTGTGAATCACTCGACATGTGGCGTCTTCATATAGCTGTTGAATGCGGTTGATAAAGGTTTGTGTCACTAAAACAGTAGTGTTGAAGCAGCTACCCAATTACTTCTCGATCGATGCTGTCGAAGGCCTTTTCAAGGTCGACGAAGTTGTGGTAGAGAGTTGACTGCCATTCTGTACTCTGTTCTATGATGATACGTAGCGTTGCAATTTGATCCGCACATGATTTGTTCTTCCTGAAGCCAGCCTGCTTGTTCCGGTTGTAATTTTGAATCCAGAGCATTGTTTAGGCTCTTTCGGATGATGCGGCTTAATATTTTGCTTGGGGTGGACAGAGACATGATAACTTGCCAGTTCTTGCAAAGACTTAGGTCTCCCTTCTTTGGGAGTTTGACTAGAGGTAGCCGTTCTTCCACTCTGCATTAACATTTCCTTCCTTCTAAAGCTTCTGCAGTAGTGGTGTGAGCATGTCCATTGTTCTCTCTGCGTTTGTTTTCAGTGCTTCTGGAGGAATTCCATCTGGTCCTGCTGCTTTTCCAGCTTTCAGCAACTTTATGGCGTTCAGGACTTCACTTCTGCTTTTGTCAGAGGGCCTGCGTTCACTGGTTGTTCTGTGATTGCTGGTCGGCTCAAGAGTTTTTTGAAGTGGTCGCCCCATTGTTTCCTTTGTTTCTCCTCTTTGGCAACTAAGTTTCCTTCACTATCTTCCATTGGTTTCATCTGTGTTGATCTCTTCCCAGATATTTGATATAATGTTGTCAGGTCTCTCCTACCTGCAGCCTGTTCTAGTGCACCTGCCAATGTGTTCTGAAATAAATGAATCAGTAATAATAAGGAAGTAATCGTAGAATTCTAGAGTTCTAATATGCTTCTGATCTTCATAAATGTTTACTGTCGATAATGGTATCAATTTAATATTACTTACTTGTGTTAATATTCTTCAGTCAGTCAGATGTCGCAAATAGTGTGGATGAGTTACATCGGGTCGGTACATTCGTACATATTCCTGAATGGGATGATTTGGGTTCAAAAATTCGACTATTGGTTGCTGGACATCGACGGTTAGTCTCACAGGCTTGTCAAGTTTAAATTATTTTTCATGTTGTTTTATTTACAAAACCTATCAGGTTTGTCATTTTGTATTATGTTGACTAACATCTATGAATGTGATTTATTTGAATTTGTGTACTCCTATTTAAAATTTTCATCACTAAATGATACTAAATTTAAGAATTTCTCATTTCCGGTTGTGAAGAGTGGGCAAATGTTATCCAGCATAAGCTGTATTATCTATAATTGACGTGGTTTTTGGCTAACAGGAGAATCCAGGATGTGTGTTCCATCCTATTTGGGATTTGTTAGCCGGAAGTACCTGCATCCAAGTGGTGTTCTTCCCACTAAGACTCGGACCTCATACTCATCGCTAGGAGTGTTAGTTATTATTACAATTAGTATTTGTTGATATAATTGTAATCCTCCGTCGTTGTACTGAATCGAATTGATTGAACTCTGTTAGCGGATGATTTCTTATATGGATACTTCGATATCGTCTGAATATTGTACAAGTTTCTTGTGTACACAGAATTCTGGTTTCTCCATGCATATGGCAAGAGCTTCTGCAATGCAGAGAGGATGGGAACACACCATTTTTAGTGGATTTCTTTTCGCCTTGTCGATGATTTTGAACACTGAACTAAGTTATGATGCTGTGACTAGTGTTGACAAGATTTTTTAATTACTGGACTTCTGATCGACTGACTGGCACCTCTTTTTTTCAGCCAGACAGGATAATGTTCTCTAATCCGTTTGGAAAGGATGCTCATCGAACGACCTACATACCTCTAGCTCCACAGGAGCAGGTTAACTGATAAGCACACACGGAAGTGCTCAGATGCCGAAGTTTATCCATTGGGTTATCAGGAAGCATTGGACGACTAGAAAATACAGTCCGCAACGTTGACTTGAAGAAAGTTTTCTTTAGCGAATTTGCAATTCTTCTCAAGATAGCAGTGAAGTCACCTTTGAAGTCAAAATGCATGTATAATATTTTCTTTGGAACTGAAATGAGTATCTCTCTTCATAGTTTCGTCCGTGTTTTCGTCTGCAAATTTTGCTGGATATCCGTTTTAAGCGATAATCCTTTTGAGAAACGTTAGTTTTTCTGAGCTATCAGTGTTGCAGATTCTTCGTATACGTTTGGCAAGGGACACGTTAAGTGTTCTTTTTCAACTTATAGGTAGCAGACTGTGCAGGTTCACTAGCTGACCATTCCATGCATGTTTCCTTTAGATAAACCTCCTCTAAGTCCCATCATCTCGCCTGGTCAGTTCTATATCCAAAAATAGAATTTTTGATTCCCTTTCTACTTCAGAGGTGAATTCAGTTGAGCGGTAGCAACTGTTAAATACTTGTAAAACATAATTTAAATCACAATCATCATGGTAAATTATGAAGGTATCGTAAACATACCTTTTATACACCAAAACCTCGACAATTATTGGTACCCTTTGATGTCGCCGGATTATACACGTCAATCAAACCACAACTGACCAAGGATACTATGTTTCTCCTCCTCATTGAAGACACATATCTTTCCAGAACGCATAAAACTTCAATGTTCAAGTCTGATGGAGCTCATCGACCTATGCCTGACAACATACTTCCAGTTAAATGGCAAGATATACAAACAGATGAAAGGAACTCCAATGGGGTCACTGATATCCGGACTAATTACAGAATCAGTGGTGGAGAGACTAGAAGTCATCATTTTACCTGTAATCAACCCGAGAATCTGGATTCTGTATGTGGACGATACTTTTGTTATCATAAGAAGATGATTTAGAAAACACAGTTTGATCAACGTTTTCAATGACATCGAATTCACGGTGAAGAAGTCAAACAATCAACTACCATTCCTATATGTTTTAGTCAGTGAAATCATTTCAGAAAAATTGGAAACTCAAGTGTACAAGAAGTCAACATACACTGATCGAATCCTCAACTACAGTAGCAAAAACCCAACAACGCATAAAATTAGCTGTGTACATACTCTATTCGGAAAGAGAGAGAACCCACTGAAGTACAACAGCTTGACGGAGAAACGAAGAAAACCACTTGATGTCGATCCTAAAGAAGAATGAATACCCACGAAACTTTATCAGAAGGTGCCTATTTCGTTCATCATCAATTACAAAATCACCCGTAGAAACCAACAAACGAATCATTCTACCATACATTAAGAACATATCAGAGATCACGACAGGCTTACTGGGACCATCCAGGATTGGTGTGGCTCATAAACAGTAATTTCTCTTTAAAGCATATTATGCGAAGCAGAGGATGCAACAGCCAAAGAAAATAGACCAAATATCACTTTAAAAAATCAACTGCAACAATTGTGATCAACACTACACTGGACAAGGTGGTTACCCTCTTCGTCTTCATTTACATGAACACTAGCTAGCTATGAAACGTCACGACATTTCATCGCTCATTTCAATGCATGTGGATAACTATGGATATGGATTCAATTTTGACAATATAAAAACCTTGCACAGAGGAAACACAGCGAATTCCTAGAAGCTTGGCATTCAGTTTGGTCAGCAATCAATAGATGTACAGACATGGACCCAGTCTATCAACCGATAAGAAAAACGATAAACAACAGAAAGGTTAGAGGTCTAGGAGAGGAACAGTCAATAATCAAAGGAAACAACCAATCACAAATCACTTCGTCAGCGCAAGCTACTCAACCACTCACAGAGAGAAACTGACAGCTCACATCATATTGATGATGCTGTCCAGAAAGATAATGACAGCTTCACGATTAAGCCACCTAGTTAAAAGAATGCAACACAACCAAGATCATGCACCTGAGCTACACATATTCTCCACGATTTCAAAATCTTACGAGTAGACCTAAGACAATCTACCAATAATGGACCCAGAGGAGAACCAATAGTGATTTCATCTGTTTAACGGTAGATAACGCCGTTGAAGAAAAAGTGAACGTTGAGGAGGCATTTAAGCAGCAGTTCTTTTAGGTATGACGCAGATATTCCGCTGTTCATACTTATCTATCTTATTGAAGATCTTGTTGCAATCGAAGATATGCCTGATTGGATGCAAGAGGTAACTGTCCCAATTCACTTCTTTCTGTGATGGATTACTGACTATTTAGTCTCTGCAAGGGATGTTGAAAGTTCACTTTACCCCTCACTGAATAATATGAGTTTGCTCTTAACAAAAGTTCTGTAAAGTGTTTTTGGTGTTTTATTTTTCAAAGGATTATTACGATCGAAGTGGATGTCGAATACAGTGGTATTATTGGTATACAATACTTTCTATTTGGAACCTTAAGTACAGTTATTACTAACCGTTATGTATGCATAAAATTTAGGGCCTTGAAAATGGAACAACGTATAAAATTATTGTTCACAACGTATTTAATAAATATAGCCACTTGTTGTGTCGTCTGGAGTTAAGCACTTCAGTCGAATTGTTGTGCTGGTGTTCGAGTTTATCAACTTGATTGCCTTCTCTGGAACTTTTGATCGAACAAAGTGCTGTACAAAAACTTTAACAAGAATTCATTTATAGACTTAGTTAGCTAAGGGTACTGGGTTCGGGTGACATTGGTAACACTATCACTCACTACGATGTAATTACATCTAACAGACGGGTTCTATATATAGTATGAAACGCATGTTCTTAATTTCATTGCTATCTACCATCAAACATAATTTTGTTTGATGGTATGTAGACTATACGATGATCAAGTTTATACTTTAATCACTGTAAAACTATCCATTTGACTATGCAAATTTTTGAGTACTTATAGGTTAGACAACTGTTTAGATGTCTGAAGTGAACAGCTGTAGAAAGAATTGGAAGTGTTTTTCAATCTTGGAAGCAGTGAAGATAAATAGTCCGCCAATTTTTTTTGCATGACGTAATCTTATGTATTTTTCTCTTTTTATAAGTCTTACACTTTTGTCTTATTTTCGGATTATATTCTTTTCTAAAGCATTAAGTTGGTACCCTTTGTGTTTTTTTTTGTGTAGTATCGAACTTGTTCGTCCAGTTGAAGAAAATTGGTTGATGATACAGTCAACTATCCAGGTTAGTTAGAAGAGAGATATTGTCGTTTTATTCTGTCACATTATGTAGTTAAGCGCAGTTTACTCTCAGCACCGTATCATATCGATGACAACAGCTGTGTTTCGTCAATGGGGAATTTCGGTTACTACTATAATTTTTGAATATTTTGCGTGTACTTCTGTATTGAATGAGATCTCCATAAATTTTCTGCATAGGAACACACTTTCTCCTACAAATAATATTACTTTTACCACCTTTAATAGGTTGTTGTAATATGGCTATGAAATTTTATCAAAACAGACTATATAGAGCTCTGTAGTCATTATTTGTTCACATGCTTCAACGATAAATTTTGTAGTATTCATCATGGACTGACATCAGTTGGGGAACCATTGAAAATCTGGGAGCACTGGACAGCTGTTTCGTCCTATTATGGGACTCCTGAGCAGTAAGCACCTACGACTCGGCTAGGGATAGAACTCAGGACCTTCAGGTTTCACGGCAAACGCGTTAACCATTCAGCCACTGGGTCGGTTTCTAGTGGTTCACATATTCCAACTTCTGTCAATTCACGACAGAGCGCGACTGGATGCTAACTGAAGACCTTGGGTGACAGTCGCGCTATGTCATGAATTGACAGAAGTTGGAATATGTGAACCACTAGAAATCGACCCAGTGGCTGAATGGTTAACGCGTTTGCCGTGAAACCTGAAGGTCCTGAGTTCTATCCCTAGCCGAGTCGTAGGTGCTTACTGCTCAGGAGTCCCATAATAGGACGAAACAGCTGTCCAGTGCTCCCAGATTTTCAATGGTTCCCCAACTGATGTCAGTCCATGATGAATACTACTTCTAAATTAAAAATCTCCATTCATCTCAAAAATTCGATAGATTTTGTATTTATATTCTAGCTAAATGAAGATAGAAGTACTTGATAAATTTACTGTAAGCGGGGAAGGCGCTTTCCCGTTATTCACTAAACATTATTGTAGTGAAATATTTACAGACCTATGATGGATAGTGGCTAGGAGTGAAATCCAGGTCGCGTGTACCGTCCTATTTCAGACTCGTCAGCTGGATGTACCTGTCTCCCTGTGAGCGATATTATCCCCATTATGACTGTGACGCCGGGACTATCGCTTCAAACGATAAAGGGTTATCCACTAGGCGACTGATCCAAGATTTATAGACATTTTTATACTGTCTGTGACCACTGTCAACCGTGACTCCTAAGTAAATACCGTTACTGCATAATGATAGAAATAAAATTGATAATTATTGGATCTCCAAAAAGCAGTTGGATTTACAGTTTGGTACCACGAATTTGAATTTACACTTCGAATATCTCAATAATCAGTCGTCTCTACATGTTCAATGATAAGCAAACTGTTCATGTTATCTGGTCAGTATGAATAACCAGAGCCCAAGGTAGATAAATATTCACGACTGTGGATACCACCTCGTTGGTTAACTTCTCAGTCGGAAACAATCAGCAAGATAATAAAACACATTAGGAACTAGTCAATAAAGGAATAGATAGAAACAACTGCACCGGATAGTAAACATTTGAAGTTAACAAACTTTAAGCCATGTTGTTATTATACTTGTAATTTCCCGTTGCTTTACATGGCGGGATCTCTCAACCTTTGTTGATAGACGGGCTCCTATGTGGATTATTCATGGTGTTATATTGGCCTTTGTGATTAGCAGAGGAATCCAGGACGTGCATGTCATCCTATTTGGGACTTGTCAGCATCCCAGTGAGTGATGTTGTTCCAAACAGGACGAAACACGCATCCTGGATTCCTCTGCTAGTCACCAAGATCCAAATTTCAATCCCCTTTAACTGATTGGTTTGTTTATGACAAGTGTTACTTCAGAACTTTGAACAAAATCCTACAATACCGGAGACATCATATGAAAAGTAACCTTTTAGAATGTGAAGAGAGAAAGAATGACAACGGGGCAGGATAAAATAGATTCAGTTCATTTCAGTGCTATCTTGTCAACTGCTTTCCACCCTTAGCATATCAGAACAAGTAGTTTAATTGAAAATTTAGCATACTTTAATCCACTGAGCGAAAACAGAATATCTGCCAGTGGTTAGGACGAATAGGAATAGTCATAGCGTGGTGGTGGTAAATCATAACTTCAAATTCAAGGAAGGTTAATAAGTGGTGGCAAATTGTCACAATCATATACATAATTGAATGGAAATTTCTCGAATAAAAATAACAACAGGAGTGGTCACCAAAATATTGAAAGATCCCAACACTATATAATCTTACGTAACCAAGTTACACAATGAGTAAGGTTCCAAAAAATCAGTAAAAGTATTGAGAGTTAAGCTCAGTTACTTGAAAATTGTCTGTATGAATAAAAGACAATACCAGTGAATAAAAGTGAATGAATAAACAACTGAATTTGTTAAAGGATGATGTAATCCAAATAAGATGGGCATACGCTGTTTGACCGATGAAAAACACCCTAGAAGATTTGGATTTCGCCCGATCATGATTTGTGTCTAATATCGCACAAACTCGAAGACCTACAGGTAAAAACCAAGTAGATGACAGAGGAGGCAGTAAAGACGGGACTGCAAGTGAATGTAGAGAAGACAGAGGTGATGAAGGTACCCAACCAGCAGCAGCAACAACAACAACAACAAGTAGCACCAATCATCATGAACAGGCGAAATCTAAAGGAAGTAGTCTCTTTCACCTAGCTAGGCAGCATCGTTTCAACTACAGGCGGCACAGGCACAGATGAGGATGTGGAATCCAGGATCGGAAGGACAGCAAGACAGGTGTTGATTAATCTGAAATCAGTGTGGAGATCTACAGCACTGCACTCAGCATAAAGAAGAAGATCCGGCTTTCCAACATTAATATCAAGTTAGTGTTTCTATATGGTTCAGAAACTTGGTGCCTCACGAAAAGCATTTTCAACAAACTACAGACATTCATAAACAGCTTCCACCTACACTCACTCGAAACTGAAGATCAGATGAGATGGCCAGAAAGAATAAGCAACAAGGAACTCTGACTGGCAACAAACCAACCAATAAGCTATCACCCAACAGATATGCAGAAGAAGAAAGTGGAGATGGATTGGATTGGGCATACACTGAGAAGACGGTTTGGGGACATCACGCGCCACACCAGGCCCTCGAATAGAATCCGAAGAGGAAACGACGAGTAGTTGGACATGCGAGGTGTGAGGGTGACATGGAGGAGATCATGTGAGGAAGAAATGAAAGCTTGTGGGCAGTGGTGGAGCCAGGTTAAGGAGATTGTAGAGAACAGAGTGCAATGGAGGCGTGCTACTGAAGCCTTATGTTCCACTAGGAACCCAAGTGACAAATAATAATGATAATCCATATAAAAGTGAAGAAGTTAAGTGTGAAACGTGGACACTATGGTAGAATGTAATTCCATATTAGATTTGTTTATTTGATATATAGCGCACAATGATACGTAATGAAGTAAGTAATACTGTATCATTGTGCGCTATATATATCAAATAAACAAATCTAATATGGAAAAGTGAAGAAGGACTACCAAGATAGGTAGAGGTGAACTATAACTTCTTTTTGAACACAGAGATCAGGTTTGAAGCTTTTAAAGACCATCGCCTCAGCAAAATTCAGGAAAAGTAAGCTTGTTTGTTTGCTTCTTATCTTGAAGGAATTGAAGAAATCTGGCTGAATTATTTCCAATGTTGAGTGATTGCGCCGTTCAAAGTGTTATCCCCCTTCGCAATATTTTGGATATTTATTTTATGATGTTATGTAATCGTATAATATTCAGTTCCTCTATGTGGATTGCTACTCTTGTTACCGTTTACCATTAACCTTTCATTGAATTTGCCGTTATGATTTATCACTACCCTATGACTATTCTTATCCGTCGTAACCACTGAGCGATATTCTGCTTTCAGTAAAACTAATTGTTTTGATATTCTAAGGGTTGTAAGCAGTTGACAAGATGCTGAAGAAGTGAGATGGATTCATTTTAACCCGCTTCTGTTGTCGTTGTTGCCCTTTTCAAATCTTTGTTTAGTTGTTATAATTCCAGGAAGCTGTTGATCATTTTGCAAATTGTCGACAGAATTCGGTCAACACACAAGACTGGACAGCATAAAGTTGGTGACCCTCCAGCGATTTACCAACTTATGTAGTACAGTCCTACAGGAGGTCGGTAGCTGACTGAATGGCTCAGCTGACGCTAGACGACACGGGTTTGAATCTTACATGAGTAACTTTCCTTGATGTTGAAGATGGATCTTTCTGATGAGTGCCAACAAACACGAAACCTAGGTCAACCAAAGCTTCCTGGAGATTTCCTCCAACTATCTGACACCCAGTAAGAGTCAAGTATGTCAAGGAAACGATTACTTTCAAACATCAGGAACTTCATACCGACCTTAAAATTACAATGTACCAGTGCAAAAAAATATGAAACTATGGATTTTGTGTTTTTAGTGCTTCATAAACAGTTTATCATGTAAAATTAACTGGAAGATTTTATTACACGTATAACTTACATCATTTGCTAAATTTCTATTCAGCAGGCGCTTTTGTCTCTCTCAGCTTGGATGTAACAAGTCAGCAGTAGTTTTACAGAAATTATCACTTAATCTTCAGCATCCTATTGAAATTACAAAGTTAATAGTCAGAAAACCAACTGAAAAGAACATAAATGTACATAGAATATCCAAGAAAACGAAATGTTTGCCTTTTTAGTCGACAATTTATATCACACTGAGTATATGCCGTATACTTAGGACGCGGACAAGATGCAGTGTCTTCTGAACACTTTGAGTGTCAATTTGAGAATGTTTGCGACGCGTTTCTCACCACTCAACTGCAAATTGTTGCTCCAGGATTGGTCTTTAGTGGTGCCTCGGTTAACAATATAGAGTGTAGTGATTGAGTGTGTTGACCACTTCACTTACCTGGGGAGTAGGATCAGCCCTGGTGCACTGGTCAGTGGCCGACGAAATCTCTGCACGAATACAAAAGGCTCGGCTGGCTCTTGCCAACTTACGCCACCTGTGGTGCCTCCGTGATACTCGATTGTCTATTAAGGGTCGTGGGTGCTGCACAGCAGTCTGATCTGTTCTACTGTATGGCTGTGAAACATGGCCGCCATTGAGTGTGGAAGACATGAGAAGGTTTGAAGTATTTGACCACCGTTGCCTTCGTAGGCCGTATTCCGTGGTGTCGCCATGTGAATAAGGTAGAAGTCAGGTTTAGAGTTTTAGGGAGAAGAGGTAAATCAGTAGACGAGGTTGTGAGCCTTCATCGATTGAGATGGTTGAGACACGTGTTACGTATGCCTAGTCGTTATCTGACTCGTCACACAATGTTGGTCGAAGTAGGTGCAGGCTGGAAAAGGCCCGAGGTGGCCAGATTAAAGCATGGCATCAATGTGTATGAAGTATTTGACTGTTGGTTTGAGCCATGTGAGGAGATGCAGACTAAGGGGTTGGGGTCCACGGTACAAGTGAAACGAGTGGTTGGGGACTGTAGGTGATATGGCTGAGAACCGATGTTAGTGGCACAGATATATGCATACATCATCCTCATCTTAACAACAGTATACCGAATCTCATCATTTTCTCATTCTTCGTTTCTGTTTTAGTACTTTATATTTTCTTTCGCCGAACTTTCTTATCTTGCACTTCACTGCCGTTTTACCTGATGTACGTATAGTGAGTTGTGGTCAGTTGAACCGTTACGCAGTAATGCCTCGTCCTACGTTGATTTGGATGGATGGATGGATGATGCTGTATACTGTATAAGACAAATTCATAAAGGGAGATTCGTGTATGAAATGATTTTTTCGAATAGTACCTTTTCGTAATCTAATCAAAGTTCAGGTTTTCTTATTATCCCCTAGTTTCAGTCAACACTTGACATCTCGATAGTTGCTGGTGGTTTTACGGACTTAACAACCCATCTGATTTACTCGTTTGACAATTTGTATTGAACTCTGATATAGCCCTAGCACTTATCGAATGTTTTTAGTCCTATCCTGTTACAGACACCACGAACGCTCATTGAAACTAAATCCATATCCGGTTTGTTTTTTTAACTTCGGCTACCAAATGACTGTCTCACTAACATCACTTCAGTTGTAATCTACTAGGTTCTCGTAAACTTGATAGTTGTTCAGTCGATCACTAATTCACCATAATAAACCTAACCATATGCATCAGTTGATACACGTTTTTCAGTGATTGAAGCAAACCTGGTGGCCTTGAGGATAAATACTCAACAATTACATCATTTACAAAATCAACTGCAATAACTGTAGTTAACACTACATTGGACAGAGTGGTCGCCTTCTTCACCTTCGTCTACATGAACACCAGTTGGCTATTAAACGTCACGACATTTCACTACTCATGTCAATGCACGTGGATAACAACTCAGGACATGAATTCAATTTCGACAGTGTAGAAATCTTGAACGGAGAAAGTAAACACAGCGAATATCAGAAAATTCCTAGCAGCTTGGCATCTAGGTCAATCAGCAATCAATAGATGCACAGACGTAGACCCGATCTATCAACCAATGAGAAAAAGGATAAAAGACCAGAAGGTCAGGGGTCAAGCAAAGGTACTTCACGGTCAACGCTATTGAATCCCTTTCCAAAGTCGATGAAATTGAGGTAGAGAGTTGACTGCCATTCTACGCTCTGTTCTATGATGATGCGTTGCAATTTGATCCGCACATGTTTTGTTTTTCCTGAAGCCAACTAGCCTGTTCCGGTGATAATTTTGAATCCAGAGCATTGTTTAGTCTCTTTCGGATGATGCGGCTTAAAATTTTGCTTGGGTGGATAGAAATAGGAGCATGATTCCGCGCCAGCTCTGACAAATTCTTAGGTCTCCTTTCTTTGGGAATTTGATAAGGTAGCCCTTCTTCCAATCGATTGCCAGGTACCTTTCCTTCCTTCAAAACCTTCTGCAGTAGTGGTGGTGTAAGCATATCCACTGCTGTCTCCGCATCCGTTTTCAGCGCTGAGGAATCCCAAACTAGGAAGAAACAGCTGTCCAGTCCTCTCAGGTTTCCAATGTTAGTCCATAATAAATATCAACTTGAAGTACTTCACTTTATTACCATTTCTGTCTAACAGCATTATCATCAGCTTGGATTGGTATAGTGATCTCTTAAGGTGAAAAACAAAAAAGTATGCATTACACTGTCATCGAAAAATTCGAATAAAGGGTAACAATGAAAACGGTGAGTGATACTTGCATTATTTATTCCATGTAGTCCTACTCCTTTTGCTTACAACTACTAGAACTTTGTTAACGATGGTCACTGTGTACCATCTAGGTGTTCCCATTTACTAAATTAGACTCTCTGAATAGATATTGGTTTTCGGCGACACAACCTGAATTGATAAACCTTTTGAATTTATTTCTATCTTTTTCTCTTTTTCATTATTGATTCATATGAAGAATTTTTTTTATTTGTTACTGTAATTTATTACTTGTTATCTACAGTTGGCAAACGCAACAGCTTGCTTCGACGGGCTAAACGTACAACTACTAAAAGTACAGAGACTTTGAATTCCACTGAAACCAACTATGTAAAAGATGATAAATTTGTCAGTAATCAGCAAAATCTAGATGTTGATACAACTTCTCCAAATAATGAAGGTTCCACTGCTTCTCCCGTTTTGATAGGTGAAACAATCAATTTATATCATGATCCCTACGAAAGCACTCAAGAAATCAAGGTAAATATTAATAACCTAGTTTAGGTCTCCTAAGGTTCATCATATTTATTATTGAAATGGTTTTATACCAACTTCATATCAAGGCATTCTACATCTATATCAAATCTGTAGTCTTTTCAAGAATTTGAAACAGTTACTCCCTTTGATGAATTTGCATAATGTAACAAGAAGACGAAGGTTATCTGAGAAATGTGATGTATTCGCACAATACATATCTAACAATCTGATCACACATATTTCAAGGCATTTTATATGAAGCATTAAAATAGGCTGAGGTAAGAGAAATAAATTATGATAATACCATGGTAACGTGCTGACTACGGAACCTGAAGGTCCTGGCCTCGATATCTGTAAGGGGTGAGTTTTGGGTTTGCACTGCTGAGGAGCCCCATGCTAGGACGAAACAACTGTCCAGTGTTCTCAGGTTTCCAGTATTCCTCCAACTGATCTCAGCTTATGATGAATACCAACCTGAAATCAATAAGTCCCCACAAATCCCCGAATTGAATACAAGATATAAGGTAAGGTAAGGACAAATTGTCCTGATTGTATTGTTTTCTCTGAGCTGGGTTGTTTTATCGTGGAGCTATCATCGTCTTTTTAGACGACGTCATCAACAGTAACTTCAGTATAAAGTGAGCTGCCAATAACTCTCCATCAGGGCAAGCTACTAAATCATTCACGGAGAGATATTGACAGCTCATTTCATACTGAAATTAGTGCTGATGATGTCGTCTACAAAGACGACGAAAGTTCCGTGATTAAACAACCTAGCTCAGAGAACACTATACGACCAAGACCATCTACCTGAGCTACAAATATTCCCCACCATTTCAAGGATAAATTTTTTTGGAATAAAAGTGGGTTTGAACTTTCGTGCAGCTAAGGCGTCAATGGACCTAAGTACACTGTCTTGATGGATCTTATACAATGGTCTAAAGGATGTTTTGGTGTCAATCCTGTGACCTGTTCCTGTGATGTGTTTACCTATCGACGATGACGTCTGTCTGACTCCTGTATCTATCGGATTATTGGAATGTAGTGAATGTTTTTCTAGCCATTTAGGGATGTGCTCCACCACCCTCGAACTCATAGTTCGATTACTCCTCTCAATGTATGTGTCACCTCACAGACAGCGACATTGACGTAATCGTCTATATAGTGATGAGATTTATTTTGAAGCTGCATAATATGTCTTTTGAATAACTGAATTAAGCCTTTGTCTTAAGATCATGTTGTTTGATTCCCCCTTATACGGTAGCCTGATGTAAATGTCCTATTTTGGGACAGAATACTGTTGAGACGTTTTTATAACAGTTGTTGAACTTCACAGGATAGGCGTTTTCTATGAGTGTCTATGTTAAAAATTTGAATTCTTCCAATATATCTGTTGTCTAGACACATTGGGTCCTTCTGAATAAGCATTTTATTAAACTTCTTTTGTACTGTATTGGACAAAAGCTATGAAAGTTAGGTTACTGTCCGATCCACGTGGGTTTTTTTTATGAACCTATCTTCCCTTGCAGTCAAGAAAAGGAAACTGATTATTATTTTCTACTTCATATGATAAATCAATATAGGTTTGTATAATGTTATTCGCTTCCAAGTAGTTATACAAGAAACAGATAATCTCTGTGAGTGAAAAAAATTTCTGATGGTTGAAATTATGTCCTTAGTGGGTATTTGTTTGCTAGACACTTTCACTTTGGTTACTGACTCGGCAGACTGAATGAATTAGATAAACCATATCCATATAGTCTTGGAATCACACAGCCAGATGGTTTAATGTTTACCTATTTGCAAATAAAATAGGCTCACTTGTCTATTCTAACCATAAGTCAATTGCACAGCTGTTGAGAGTGGTTCGTCGGATAGAAAATTTTATTTGCTGAATTACGTTTTATTAATTCCCTGCTTTTTTTATTTTTATGCATTACAAAACGCTTTCACCACTATTTCTTACTTGTTCAGTCTGTTCTAGACTCAGCGTACTTAATATCCCTCTAACTGAGATAGATCATCTTTTATTAAATATTCTCCTGATTCATTTAGTGCTCGTCCCTGCTACAATCAATAGTTCAAGTCATTAATTGATTGATATTGACTCGGATGTAGGGCAACACGGGACTCATCATCATCTGAGGAAACGTGAAGACTGACAGAGGGGGCTGTAAGGGGATTGTCATTTCCCAACTACCCACACCGTGAAAGTCTAGGTCTTCTTGAGATACTTGGAAGAGAAGGGTTAGTGCATGACTGCAGAGCCCAATGATAATCTGCCTGATGATGACGACAAATGGCCTTTTTGTAAGTTTGAGGTTTTGGTTTGTTGCATTCTTATCCGACTGTGAACCTGTGTCTCAGGCATTGGCATGCTCCATCCCGTCCTGCCAGTGGTACAACTTCGCCCTCAGACCCCTATTATAACGTAGCAATTGATATTGTAGTGGTAATCGCTTTTCGTCTTATCACTATCCAAGAGACCTTTGTGGTATGGTAGGACTTCAAGGGGACAAGCTTTCCACCAACAGAACTCGTTGTCTCAGTGTGATATACAAGGTAGTAGGTTTTGGTCGGGATAGAACTCATTTGTTAGAACTACCGTCTTCCTTAGGGCTTATATAAAAATATTTTTCACATATGCTTTTTTTATGCCAAACAGTTTTTCAAGAATCCAATTTTCATGTTTACCTTTTTAGGCTTTGAGCGCTGAGATTGTGAAAACGATACGTGATATTATCAGTTTAAATCCTGTGTATAGGTAAGTTATAATGCATAGATTATTTATAGTTTATTCTTATTATTTACCTAACTTTCCTTCTGTTCATCTAACTCGAAAAATCTTGCATCTTCAAATGTGAAATATTTAAACTCTACCGTTTTAAAGTTCACAACTGATGAACTGTGTTTTCAGTTATTTTGAGATATTATATTTCGATGTAAAATAAAGTACAGTTGGTTTTCAATTCACTAATAGAGTTTTTTGTACATTATAGAGAGAATGTCCTCGCCATGTTACAAGCTGGACAACGTGTTGCTGATAATCCTATATACCTGAGTGATTTAGGTAAGTTTTATAGATGTTGATTGCATTTCTCTGGTATCTTCAGTAGATATGTATATTTTCCGTAAAGATAAAGTAAGCGCTAGTTAATGACAAACCGAAAATAATCACGTAGGTTTCAGACCTAATCGTTACTGTATCAACCACAAGTTATCGAACACAGGCACACTTACCGATACCAGACGGTAGCTGCATTTTTCGACATGGAGGTGGCGTCCCACCCTGCGGGAAAAGAGAAACCAGTGGTTGGAGACTCTAAGTGATGATAGGGCTCGGAATCGATGTCACTGGCACAAATGCTTACATACATTATCCTCATCTTAACTACTCTACTTAATCTCATTCTCCCTTCCTCTATTTTACTACTTTCTACCTCTACTTCTTTTGACCGGTTTTTTATAGCAGCGTCTCTTACTGAAAAGAGTACAGAATACTTACTTCACTGTGTTGAACACCTGTCAGAGTGTCAGAGGGTGTGGTAAGTTGTGTACATCGAGTGGTGTCTGCCAAGGATATCCACTCACTATATTTATTCAACTTTATCATCGACAAATATATATATGGAGACCTCACTCTCATCGTCTGATTTTACAGGAAGTGGTTTTTCCGCACTAGACTGCGTAGTAAGTCTAGATGACATCGTCCTGTTGGGTGAAGACTCTGGCAAGATTCAGTCTTCTGGACATTTTGAGTGACAGTCTGAAAATGTTTGGAATATGTTGCCGCAGGACTAGTCCATGTCATCTTGTCTGACAGTAGGAGGTAGAGGTATTTAGGATGTTAACCACTTCACTCACCTGCGAAGTTGGATCAACCCTGGTGAGTTCGATTGGCTTCAGCCAACTAACGCCATTTACGGTGCCGCTGTGATATCCAATAGCCTATCAAGAGTCAAGTATACTGCGAATTAGTTTACTTTGTCTGTGGAAGCTAACCAGTAAACATCAAGGACATGCGAAAGCTTCAGGTATTCTATCACCTTTATCTTCGAAGAAAAAACTATGTTGTGGTGTTATTACATCTGCAGTGTAGTAGTTAGGCCTAGTGTCTTAGGTAGAAACTGAAAGTCAGCTGATGAAGTCATGAGCCCTCCTCCAATCAGATGTCTGAGACATGTGTTATGCTTATTTGGCCTCCATCTACTCATTCGCATAATACTGGCTGAAGTATATTCAGATCAGGGTTCACATGACAGCAAAAACCAGTGGTTAGGAAAGTCTGGTTGATAAGGGTCAGAATGGATCTAAGTTTCTCAGATGTGTCCACGCATTATTTTCATCCTAATCATCCTACCGAGTTTCATTACTTTCCTATACCTTCCAGTTCTTTCACAACGTTCCTTGTTTCTTTATCTTTGATTTTCGTGCCGTCTTGCTTGATGTGTCGATATCAGGTGTGACAGCTTGAATAGTAATGCTAGTTCCTCCTTTGATGGCGATTAACTAGTTGAATTTGTGGCTGCTGAAGTGGAGGATTTCTAATTTTTTCTTTTTGAAACGGATATTTAACGAGTCACTCATGCTGCGCTATCTGTTATCTTGACTGAGAAAGAAGGCTAAGACCAAATAGTATGATTCTCCTTGGAAGATTGGTGGAATCTATTATGAAGTCATTATCTGTGTTATGAGAACAGTATAAATTTAATCGGTTAATATATCGTCAAGGTGTATAATTTCACATCAAACAAGTCATTCTATTCAATATCTGCTTACTGCGTTTGCCCAGAGATACGTACAAAAAAGTTACTTTCAGTTTGTTCACCTCCACTTCGGAGGAAATAAGAAGGATTCACAATAGACATGACACCCGAGTTCACTTTTGGGGAGTAAATACAAAGATGTAGTATCTAAATAAAGTCAACAGAACTGCGTTTATGAAATCAAGTGCGCTGACTATAATGCAGTATATGTGGCGGAGACATCCAGGGAGGTAAACACAAGAGTGGAGGAGCATAGAATATGTCTAAAGCAGATTCTAGAAACCTCAGCAGAGATTAATAAACTAGAAGACAAATCGACATTCACGCTACACTTCATAGAATTAGGCTACAAAATTAACTTTGAAGGAACCAAGGTTCTACAAAAAGGTTTTGGGTCATACTAAGGAAGATCGACAGCTGAAGCCCTACATGTATGGGCAAATTCAGACAGTTTGAGCAGACGAGATGGAGTACAGTTAGTTGCCTCTTGGCAACTACTAACTAGTAAGCAGAAAGAACTACTTTAGCATCTTATCTTCAACACCGCTTTCAACTTCATTATCTCTGTATCAAGAACAACACATTCTGGATTGATTCGATTCATTATTATTATCGTCACCATTATCATTACTACTATTCATTTCCAATGTATTCCGACAGATCAATGAAAAGTTTGTTAATACCGTTCATCCCTGTATACCAACCGAATTGACACATATATGTCCATTTCTATGCCTTATTGTACTTACAAAAATCACAGAATGATTACAATGTCACCTTTAACTTTTTTAGTCTTCGTGTTAACAATCAAGGAGAATAGGTATAACGACATATATACATGCTAACTATTCAAGAAAGGACATATTATTTCACGCTGAATGATTAGTAATCATATTTTAGCTGATAGAACATCGAGCCGGGGACCCGATGGTCGCTGGTTCGAATCCGACAGCGGTCCAAATTCTCATCTCACCTTCAATCATCACCCAGTACAAATACTAGTCTGCCGAACTACGGCTGTCTCAGATAGTCAAATGATAATCAACATGATGCTCCTCTTCTGGGATTGAGTTAGATTTGGACTGAGGTGAAAAGTTCTAACTGTGGGCAGCCAGTGTGAATACGATCAATTGGTAGTCGGGTAAAACCGTTGTTGATTGAAGTGAAATGAAAATCTGGTCAGTATTCGGTTCTCGTTGATCATTTGGCGAAGCATCGGGCCGGAAACCCGGCGATCCCTGGCTCGAATCCAACCACGGGTCCAAATTCTCATCTTACCTTCAATCATCACCCAATATATTTTAGGAAGACAATCACTACACAAACAGGACTGGACAAGAAGATTAAGTACACGACCTTGGATTCATTTATATCATCCTTGATATTTTACTTTTGATTATTTCCTTGAAGAAGCTGTGACAGCACTTCCATGTGGAACAACGTTGGAATTATATCACGTCAAACACGCTATGACTTACACAAATATAAACTATGGAGAATATTTGTAGCTCAGGTGGATAGTCTGAAGTTAGTGCTGATGATGTCGTCTGGAAGGACGATGAAAGCTTCACGATTAAACAACGTAGCTCAGAGAACACAATACAGCCAAAATATAAACTGTCTTATGTCAACGTTTTACTTAGTGCCCAATATTTGAGATACTGTTCGATCAAATTTTGATCATAGCTCGTATAAATTCATAATATTTGCTGCTAAGTAGTCACTTGCGTTACCTTCACACAAGTAAATTTGTGAGATAGAATTTACTGAAAAGTGCGTGTGAAAACAGTTGAGCGCCCACTAATTGCACAATTTTGTTTATCGCAATAAATCCCTTAATTCTTACATCTTTCGAGGCAGTTTGATTATGAAAAATTTTTTAGTGGTGTTTTTGGATTCATACACTGCTAACTATATTGAAAACAGAAACAATTCAACTACAACATAAAACCTTAACTTCTGTGTGTTATCTTATCTCTTTACTAGGAGCTGCTTTAAGTGGTGCTGGAGATCCTGAAGAACTTCAAGCAGTATTAGAAGAGATGAATATTTACAATCGCCTTCGACTTTCACTAAATCTGGTAAAGAAGGAGTACGAATTGGCTAAACTTCAACAACAAATAGGTCGTGAAGTTGAAGAGAAGGTAAAACAGCAACATAGACGTTATATGCTATCTGAACAACTGAAAGTAATCAAGAAGGAACTAGGTTTGGAGAAAGATGACAAGGACACTATCGTAGAGAAATTTCGTATGCGTCTGAAGGTGAGTAGTTTCTTTTTCTGTAGTACTCTGTTGAGATCGAAGTCAGATGGCTAGACTAAGGGTCAGTGGTGTATAATATTTATATTCACGCAGTTGGCGGGCTGTTTGATTTTAAGCACTAAATGCTTTCTGAATTCTACAGAACATTCTAAATTTTTTCATGCTTACTGTAAGATTTTTGTGTACAATTGCATTATTTGTAGTAGATGTCGTTTACAAATTGTGTTATAATCTAATTCTCATGATTGGTTTTCAACCGCCTGCTAAGCGAGTACTTACATCCTCTGGCTGTACATACATATCTCTACGCGCATGAGGCTTATTACAAGGAAGCAGGGATTAATTTCCAAGCAATAACTATGCAGTAGTACTTTTTGTGGTTAGTATGTAACTCATGCCTAGTTTGAACTACATGTGTAACGTGTCTGTCATATACAAAATCAAAATTGGTAAAACTGCGTGATCAATGCCTCTAGACTGTCAATATTCAGCGTATCTATACCAAAATAAATTTTTCCTACAGCTTCCCGTAACTTATCAAACATGTGTAGGTGCCTGCACTAGCCAGACAACCATACGTATTGTATATGGATTCATATTGATTCTTCTCTATTGTTCCGCGTTGATCTACTAAAAAGGGACTATGTTACATTGCGTAGGTTGAATTCTGTACCTCTGGCTCAACTGATTAACACTAGTTGATAGACATTTAAATCCTAGCAAGCAACTATCTACAGTAATTTTAACTGACACGGAGCATCCACTTTATTCACAGCTCTCTCCTCAAGGAGGACAGGAAAAAATTACGTAAGACTGTATGCTCGTACAGCCAAGTACGAGAATTCGACTATACCTTACCTAGCACGTGTGTTACAACAGAACTTTGTAACAGTTAACAATCTCATTTCAATAATTTAACTAACAATGTAAAGTTTTCTCGTTGTAAATATTCTCTACTTAGATTTTTATTATGACACTATTCGAAGTGTTTTAGAGGAGTATATATGTACATATATTTTGTTGTTGCAATATATCATGCTGAGAATTCTAAACTGTACCAAAAATTGTTTGGAATAAAGTGGTCATTATTATCATCATCAATACTGTACTATATCTGATAGCTCGGACTTTGCCATATGAGGCGGGGTTCGTACACATCACACACTAAATGAAGGTTGACTGGTTGTGAACCTTGCTGACCACAGCTATAATGCATCCACTGTATCATTGAGAATACTAAGATCTAATCGATTACGTATTTTCGTTCAAGCCATGCAAGACTTAGGCCTTGATTATTAGTGTTTTTATATCAGTTTGTTTGTTAGGCAAACCACACGTTGAGACAATTATTTACTGAATACCGTTTGGAACACAGTTTATACGTGATAATAACATTAATCATGGAAATTCCTGGCTTGGTTTATATAGTTCTTATGCCTTCTCTGTTTGCCTCTCGAGGGTAGCAAAACTTTACAGATATGTGGGACAAGTGTGGAGTTATTCTTGATGTTAGGCCTAGACTGAATGAACAACAATTTGGCTAGCAGTCGGTGATCTATAAACGTTTATTGGTTTCAAGGTAATATTCATCACGAACTAGGATTCCTTGAAGAACATTTAAAGACCTGAGAGCATGAGACAGCTGTTTTGTCACTGTAGTGTTCATCCTTCCCAGGAATCGAGATCCTAGACGTCAGATCCCGTGGCGAGTGTGTCACCTTCCAGCCACTGGGTCAAAATCCGATAGTTCACAATTTTCCATTCCAATCAATTCAGGTGTGAAGACAAATACTACCTGAGATTATTGAATGATGTTTGCGCTATATCGCGAGTCGACAAAAATAGGGAATAGTGGATCATTGGATTCCAAACCAGAGATCGGATGATAACTCGATGCCGGACAGAGTTTATAGGTTTGCACTGATGAAGAGTCGACAGACAGGACGAAAGAGCTTCCCAGTGCTCTCGGGTTTTCACTGATTCTCTAACTAATCTCATTCCCTGATGAATTCTACCTTGGATTTAGTTATCAATCTCTCTGCTTACTTATTTGCCCACTTGTCTACTATCAACGATAATCTTCCTGATTGTGGTGGACTTGATCATGCAACAAACTGTGAGAAGCGAGAAGATAGGCATATGCTGTTTGACCGATGGAAAGACCCTAGAAGATTTGGATTTCGCCGATCCTGATTTATATCTAATGTCGCACAAACTCGAAGATGTACAGGCGAAAACCAACAAGTTGACAGAAGAGGCAGGGCAGCGAAGAAGACATAGCCTTCAGGTGAACGTAGAGAAGATAGAGTTGATGAAGCTACCCAGTCAACAACAAGCACCAATCATCATGAACTGGAGAGATCTGAATGAAGTTGCCTCTTTCACCTACCCACCAACCTAGGCAGTATCGTTTTAACTACAGGGGGCACAGGCACAGATGAGGATGTGGAAGCCAGGATCGGAAAGACATCAAGACAGACGTTGGTTAATCTGTGGAGATCTACTGCACTACACTACCTCAGCATGAAGAAGAAGATCCGGATTTTCAACACTAATGTTAGTCAAGTAAGTCAGTGCTTCTTTGTGTTGGTTGAGAGACTTGACGCGTTACGGAAAGCATTTTGAACAAACTTCAGACATACATGGACAGCTGTCGCCTACGCTAACTGGATCCTGAAGATCAGGTCATATATGAGAAGACGAGAAAGAATAATCGGGGATGAAGTGTGACCTGACAACGAAGCAAGCAAGTAAGCAAGCGACCAACCAAGAAGCTATTGCCCAAGAAATATGCAGTGGAAGAGAGTGGAGATGGATTGGATTGGATTGGACATAGACTGAGAAGACGGTTTGGGGACATGACTTGCTAGTGCAGTCGGTTGAGTGTAAGGCGAATGCGACAAGAGGAGTTGGGGTTCTGAGGTGTGAGGGTGATATGGAGGAGATGGTGTGAGGAAGATGTGGAAAGTTATAGGCATTGGTGGAGCGAGGTTGAGAAGACTGCAGAGAAGGGAGTGAAATGTTGACGTGTTAGTGAAGCCCTATGTTCCACTAGGAACCACAGGGACGAATAATAATAAAACTTACCTGCATAATGCATGGTTGGCCAAGTGATTAAGTCATGTGCTATGGTGTTCTATGTCGTTATACTCTTTTCCCGTTTGTATGACTGATATACGTAGTGGTTTAAAGTGTCCCAATTCTTTAGGTTTTTTCTTGATAGGACTGAATCGGACGTTACTTCTGTTCTCAGCTTTATTGTTGGACTATATTATTATTGCGCTCAGAACTAATTATCACTATCAAATTATATCTCTAGTCAGTGGATGTTTAATTTGTTTATTTATGGAAATTTTCAGGATTTGACTGTCCCTGCCAGTGTTATGGAAGTTGTTGAAGAAGAACTAAACAAACTGAGTGTTCTAGATAATCACTCATCAGAATTCAAGTTAGTTACTGTCTACTGATCTTTTTTTTCCTTCATGAACTGTCATTTGATCACTTCACAGATACTGTTGGTGAGTAGACTTTTACAGCTGAACTTTTTCTACGAAACACTGCTGAGAGATTATAATGTAGAACTTGACAGGGTTTAGGTGATCTTTAGTTTTTGGTGCTTCTTGGAGCTGCGGATCATTGATTTAGAAAGATAATTTTCAACCAATGGGTCACGAGTGCGAACTCAGTCCCACCTACCGAGATGGTTTAAGGAGCCAAGTAGTATTATTAACCTTCTTACATTAAGTGTAGCTTATTGCGTGCTGCACGAATGTGCACAAGGTTGCTGAGTGCATTTCGTTGTCATTGGTTTATGTCAGCCTGTGAATAATGCTGGCCTTAGACTAGTCATTTCCTTACAATCTGTGCAGTTCAACAACATTAACTAACTGCCAAAACAAAAGTTGATCAGTCAGAGTCCTCTCTGCGTTAATATGACCAACCAGAGGAATAATACATAACCAATCATTTTTCTTTTTTTGTAACCCCTACCACTTCTGGCTAGTTTGATGTATCTGTTGTTTTACTTTGTTGCTTTTTGGTCTTCCCGGTTGGAAATATACACGTAATTTACCACTGCAAATGTTTTCCATATTTTATTGCCGTCCTTGAATCAGCTCTTCTTCGCATACCTCGATATTGGTAATGATCTTTGTTTTAATACCATTAATATAAGTGTCAATCAGAAGAACTCAGAACTCGTGTTTCACTCTATTCGGGACCCGCCAGCTGGATGCGTCTACCTCTCGGTGATTGGTGTTGTCTGCATTGATATTCGAATCTAAGAACCTTTGCTTAGAACTTCAGAGCGTTGTATACTTGGCTAGTTAGTTACAATGGATATTCCGTATATGACGAGTTTAGTTTATATGTTGTGGTTTGTAGTTCCTTTGCCCAACTGACGAGTCCGAAGCTAAACAAAACGTTCATCTATCGTTGCTTTAGTTAGGGCTATTGTCCAGTCTTACTTCTTCCCGTAAATCGTTTCTTTTTCAGAGATAAAATCTAATTTGTTATTGTTTTATCGCAATGATATCTTAGTATTTTTCTTTGGGTTATATATACTTCCAGTGTAACACGTAATTATTTGGATTGGTTAACTGCATTACCATGGGGAGTGACAAGTGAAGAACACCTGGATATTGGGTCAGCCAGAAAAATTCTAGATGAAGATCATTACGGAATGGATGATATCAAAAAACGTATTCTCGTAAGATAATTTCATGTAGTTTTCGTATCATGTACTGTTTCCGAGATTCCTCACTTGTTTATTTGTTTACCAGGCTCATTTCCACTTGATTTCAGATTGATATTTATCATGAACTGACATCAGTTGAAATACTAATGGAAATCCGGGAGCACTAGGTAACTGTTTCTCCCCAGTGTAGGACTCCTGAGCAGTGGACACCAATGGCCACCCCGCCAGGGGTCGAACCCAGTACCTTCGGGTTCCGCAGCCAGCACATTACCACTGGACCACTGGCTTGGTACCCAGTGGCCCGGATTTCCTACTTCTGTCAATTCATAATATAGCGCGACCTCCATCCAATATCGTTGAGTAACTTTCCTCATGTTCGACTTCTCATAAGAACTTCGAGAATCTCATATCGAAACAAGCCACCAATGAACACTGGAGAGTAATTCGATCTTGAGGTTTTTTTAGATTTATATATTGATTTCAGGTTGGTATTCATCATGGACTGACATCACTTAGAGAACCACTAGTAACCTGAGAGCACTGGACAACTGTTTCGTCTCAGTATGCAACTCATCAGCCGTGTACAACCACTTTTGTTTTTATTCCTACCTATCTTTATCCTTCTTCACTAGTGGTATGTAGCTACTTAAAGCGGCAATTTTCTATTGAAGATGACTTCATGTTGTCAACTTTGTTTGTTTAACCAGTTTGCTCGGTAAATTATGATTGCTGAAATGTGTAACGAGACTACTCAAATGAGAAAATAATATCACCTCTCAATGCAATCAATATCAGCATTGTTTAGTTTCATATGAGCCGGACACTAAACTGGTGTGATATTCTTATCTTCAAATAACTGACTGGTAACATTCACCCGGGTCATCGCTTTGCATATACAAGTTCTGATAGAAACTAGAGTTATACATGCCTATATTCGATTGAATTGCTTAAATCAGAATGACTTATATTAAACTACTTATAATTACTTTGTTGAGTTAATGAAAAAACCCCTTTTTTTCGAAAATGGTCATACTTTGGTACTTTTGGCCACCTTTGTTGTTTTTTTTTTTCATATAGCTCTTTTATCTTGTGTATTCTTTTTTCTCGCTCAGGAGTTCATTGCAGTCAGTCAACTCAAAGGTTCAACACAGGGTAAAATATTATGCTTTTATGGTCCACCTGGTGTTGGTAAAACGAGTATAGCACAGTCTATCGCTCGTGCATTAAATCGAAAGGTTAGTGTTGTTAGAATGGTGTTTTTTCTCTTAGTAATAGTAATAGTTAGATCACCATCATCTCTTATTATTTTCACACCAATTTTCCTATTCTGTATTCTTGTTTTTATTCTGTTTACTTGAATCATTTAGTAGAAAATGAAATGTTGTATTCAGTCTTGAGATTTGTAGCCGGTTGATTAATTTCAAATGGGATTGATATCTTGGCTAGTGGTGAAGAGCTTTCTTTCTGAAGTTATATATAGTAAATTTATATTTCCCGTGCTTCTTCAGTAGATTTTGCAATAAATTTTTATGCACTTGAATGTTATCTACCGACTAACTGCTCTTATTCTTTGCTGTGTGAAGTGACTGGCATAATAATACGGAATACGAGAACACTACTAACATGATGACACACTTGCTCTAGATATGAATAGCCACTGTTCTCCTTTCAGATCTGATACTTCACTGAGCCGCAGAAACCAAAAGACAAAGATCGACTTGTGACTTTGAGGAAGACACCTTTTTTGACAAAAACACATCATTTATACACAATTTTTCCTCAGGATATAAAGCCACTTGCTCAGAAGTTGAATACTTATTTTGATTGGTCATCTGTAGGACAGAATAGTCCAATCAGGTTTTTCCTGCTCATATAGTAATATGAAACAAGATTGAAATCGGAAACTTCTATCTTAGCGGCTGATGATTTAGAATATTGATTTCGACTTAGGCCGATCCTTATCACTTTGCAAATCTCTTCATATCGAAGAGGATAGTCAAACTTACACAACCTTTGCTTGCGAAAACGTCTGTCTCGAACCAATCTTCAATATGGATTTTGTCAATGTAGCTTATTTCTTTGATCTCCATGTGAATATCTATTCGTTTATTATTATCATTATCATTATTAATACTTATTACAATCGTCTCGAATTAGGGTTTTTGCAAAGTAAATCACTGTGTAGTATAATTGTTTTTTTTGTATGATACCATCGTTGATTAGACCGACTTGATCGGTCTCTATTGGCATATGGGCCGACGAGTCCCAAATAGGACGAAATGCGCATCCTGGATTCCACTCCTAGCCACGATGCATCATTAACATAATTAGAACACTGGTAATATCAAGGCACACGCACAGGAGCCCATATGCCAATAGAGAGCGATCAATTCGGTCCAATCAACAACGGTATCATATAAAAACAATTATACCAAAAACTATACTCGTCTCACAAGAAGTGGCTATCGTGGCTCGGTGGTGTAGTGGATAACGCACTGGCGTTTGGAGCGATCACTCCCGAGTCCGAATCCCGATGGGGGCGACACCACTCACTGGGAAGCAGGTACGTCCATCTGACGAGTCCCAAGTAGAACGAAATGCAAATCCTGGATTCCACTGCTAGCCACGATCCATCATTAACATAAATCACTGTATTTCAATGTTCATACATACACTAAGGTGTTTGTTTCATCTCTTTTGTTTTAATTGATAAACTAACTAACTGAATAAATCTTAGTAATTGGGATTCTATTTTGTTACTGATGATGGATAGTGAGTAACAGTGGAATTCAAGACGCGTGTTTCGTCCTATCTAGGACTCATTAACTGAATCTACATACCTCCCAGTGAGTGATTTTGTTCCCACTGAAACTCGAACCCCAGTACCTATCTCTTCAAACACCATTCATTTTTCCAAAGTGCTGAATATCGACTGACTAAACTCAATACGGATCAGTAACACGAACCTATCCGTGTGAATAATGCCAGTTTTTTTGTAATATACAGATTGATGTTAGGAAGTGAATATATTTCAACGTAAGCAGACACGATTATAATCCCAAGGTTAGCTTCAACATGTAATCATACTTATTTATGTATACAACATTTTAGTCTATCTTCGTATTTCTTGAAGGCTGAAATTTTGTGTATCTATCCATGAATTGTTATTATGTTTGTTCGGCAGAGTATAACAAGTCTTAATAGAAGCTCTATAAGTGAAATAGTGAAAACTCATCTTACCATAACCTACTTTACTTACCTTTATATCTTCTCTTACCTTCACAATCTGTTCCTGTCGCCGACAAAAAGCCCCATACAGTTTTCTCAACTCACTATGAGATCATAACTAACAATTCAAGCAGATAAACATTAATCTTAGTCTCATAAAACCACTCTGCCAACTTCAAATTGAAGCTTTCAACGTTGGAACGGCATGCCAAATCGGACGACAGACCTCTTGCCAAAACCCTTGAATCTTTGGTTGTCTGTGTGTACTGTGTTTTCTGGACACGCTTATAAGATATATATACGTGTATGTGTGGCTATTTACTAGGTCTCACCAAGCGAATATAGTAAATTTGCGAAAGTAACTCTACAAGTGTTCGTGGATTCGTTGGTTTAGTTGTCATATTAGGTTATAGAGCAGTAAGCTCACTTGTCGACTGAATATGGGTTGAGAAGCATCAAGTTGAATGGATATGTAAAGACTGTAAAGGTTTATGGCTGTCACTGACGCCTATTCGTAGTCTTTGCTTATATTCCATTGTAGCTCTTTTATTATGTATATGACACATTGAGAGAGTATTATCTAATGACGTTTCGAGCACAATGTATTGTTCATACTTGTATGAAGATTATCACACAACATTCTGGTCTAATTTTGGTGGTGAAAATTTGTGCATATTTAGCCATTAGTGTTGCTTCGCTTCTGTTACATCTGTCAAGATTTCCCTACATATCCGCCAACTTCGCCTGGTTAACTAGTTCACTAGTTACTAGCCGGTCCTAAGCCCGGGTAAAGAGGGAAGGTTGGGCATAGGGCTAGCAACCCTACCCCGTAAAACAAATCTAACCGCTAAAGAAACTTCAAAGCACAAACAAAATATAAAAAATGAAAACAAACTTATTCCCCGCTGGAATCGGAGAGGCGAAATGACGCCAGTTGGTGAAAGCCTTCGGGAAGCCAGTTGGCCGATGTGTCTTCTCTCTTTTGATGAAAGCGAAAGTAGACGTGGGGACATGGAATGTCCGTACGATGTTTGAACCCAGTAAGGCAGCCCAGATTGCAAAGGAGATGAGAAGGTATCACATCGAAGTGCTTGGGATTTGCGAAAGCAGATGGAATGAGAGTGGACTCTCCAAACTTCAACTGGAGAATTTTTTCAATAATCTACTCCGATATTGTCACCCAGACGACAACCACGAGCACACTGAGTTATGGAGTGGCTATCATGATGTCCCCAACAGCATCACGGGCTCTCATACAGTGGGAACCAATCTCCTCCAGGATTTTTTTCATGACAGCAAGATTCGACTCAAAAGGAAGGAAGGTCACAATCATACAATGCTACACTATGCATCTACAAATAATGCAGAGCAAGAGAAAAAGGAGGAATTCCACAGACGACTTCAATCAACACTGGACGATACCTCAGTTGGCGATTTCAAAATTCTAATGGGCTACATGAATGCCAAACAGGGAGGGGACAACACAGGAAGAGAACTAACCATGCGTCGAGAAGCACTCGGTGAGATGAACGAGAATGGAGAATTGTTTGCAGAATTCTGCACATTCAACGATTTGGTGATTGGAGGCAGTGTGTTCAGGCACAAAGATATCCACAAAGCGACATGGATTTCACCAGACAAACACACTAAAAATCAAATCGACTTTATCTCAATCTCAAGAAAATGGAGACGCAGTCTACTTGACACAAGGTCAAGAAGAGGAGCAGATGTAGGTTCACACCACTATCTAGTGCAAGGAACCTTTTTTCCAAATCAAGTTAAAAGCCTTCAAGGAAGCTGGTGATAGACCACAGTTCAAGTACAACACTCGGAAACTGAAGGATGAAACTACAAAGGAGATCTTCAAGGCAGCCATCAAGACAAAATGGGAGATATCGAGGGACATCTGTGAAGAAACCTGTGTGGAAGAACACTGGAAGTCTTTGAAAGAGATTTAGAAAGAAACCTGCACAGTCGTATTAGGAAGGAAGAAGAAAGAAGACAAGGAATGGATCTCAATGGATACCTGGAAGCTGATAGAGGAGAGGAGGATGGTGAAACAGAAGATAAACCAGTGCAAGGATGCTCAAGGACAAGAGGAACTGAGCACAATGTATAAAACACTGAACAAAGAAGTAAAGAAGAGTGCACGGAAAGACAAAAGACACTTCTGTGGCACACTGGCAAGTGAAGCAGAACAGGCTGCAGGTAAGAGAGACCTGACGACACTGTATCAAATAACCAGGTTGCTATCAGGGAAGAGACCAACACAGATGAAACCAATAAAAGATGAAGAAGGAAATTTAATTACGAAAGAAGAGAAAGTAAGGAAACAATGGGCCGACCACTTCAAGAAGCTCTTGAATCGACCACCACCTTTTTTTGCACTTCGTCCAGAAATACCACCTGCAGCCGCTGAATTACAAGTGAACATAAATCCTCCAACGAAAATGGAAGTCCTGAACGCCATAAAGCTACTGAAATGCGGGAAAGCAGCAGGACCAGATGGAATACCGCCAGAAGCATTTTTTTTTTTTTTTGAGACAACAGCAGACAGGCTCACACCACTATTGCAGAAGGTGTGGAAGGAGGAGAAGGTACCTGACTTTTGATTGAAAGAAGGGTTACCTTGTGAAACTGCCGAAGAAAGGTTTTAGACCTCAGTGTTTGCAAGAACTGGCGAGGAATCACTCTCCTGTCCACCCTTTTCGAGTAAAATATTAAGCCGCATCATCTTGGAGAGGCTTAAGGATGCACTGGATTCAAAACTTCGACCGGAACAGGCAGGCTTCAGGAAGTACAAATCATGTGCAGACCAAATTGCAACGCTTCGCATCATCATAGAACAGAGCATAGAATGGTAATCAGCTCTCTACCTCAACTTCATCGACTTTGAGAAGGCCTTTGACAGCGTCGACCGAGAAGTAATTTGGAAACTGCTTCAATACTACGGAGTACCGCAAACTTTTATCCGCCTCATTCAACAACTATATGAAGATGCCACATGCCAAGTAATTCACAATGGGAAGCTCAGTGATGCTTTTGAAGTGAAGACAGGAGTGAAACAAGGTTGCCTACTATCCCCCATGATATTCCTGATTGTGGTCGACTGGACTGGATCATGCAGCAAACAGTGGGCAGCGAGAAGAGGGGGATACACTGGACTGCCGAAAAGAACCTAGAAGACTTGGATTTCGCCAGTGATGACTTGTGCCTGATGTCATATAAACTTGAAGATCTGCAGGCGAAAACTAACAAGTTGACAGAAGAGGCAAGGCAGCGAAGACGGAACTTCAGGTGAATATAGAGAAGACAGAAGTGATGAAGATACCGCACCACCACCACCAACAACAAACTCCAATCACCGTCAACGGGAGAAACTTAAAGGAAGTAACCTCCCTCACCTACCTAGGCAGCACTGTTTCAACTACAGGCGGGACAGACGAGGACGTCAAAGTCAGCCAGGATCGGAAAAGCAAGACAGGTGTTCACTAGCCTGAAACCAGTGTGGAGATCTTCTGCACTCAGCATGCGGAACAAGATACGGATTTTCAACACCAACCTAGTCAAGTCAGTGCTTCTGTATGGTTCAGAGACTTGGCGCGTCACGAAAGGCATTTCCAATAAACTAGAGACATTCATCAACAACTGCTTACGCTGGCTCGCTACTGAAGATCAGATGGACAGCCAGAAAGAATAAGCAACAAGGAGCCCTGGGAACGAACCAACGAAGCAAGAACCTATCGCTGAAGAAATATGCAGTGGAAGGAAGTGGAGATGGATTGGGCATGCACTGAGAAGGCCGACTGGGGACATCAGGCGTCAGGCCAGTCACTCGAGTGGAATCCCCATGGGAAACGACGAGTTGGACGTCCGAGGGTGACATGGAGGAGGTCGTGCGAGCAGGAAATGAGAGCTTCTGGGCTGTCGTGGGACCAGGTTCAAAAGATCTCAGAGAACAGAGGTCACTGGAGACGTGCTACTGAAGCCCTATGTTCCACTAGGAACCCAAGGGACTAATAATATAATAATAATAATAATAATAATAATAATAATAATAGGATGATTTTTTAGTTTTCTGTATGAATCAAAACGGTCGGACATATTCATACGTCGGTGGGCGAATTTCACACTGAAGTAGGGAAACGGCAAATCAGGAAGGTATACTGGGAGTATTTCTGGTAAGCAATGCTCATCAACCGACATTTTCGATTTAGTCGTACAATTTCGTCTTGACCGTCACACCTTCCTGAGAGACATTTTCTTACTTAACTCAGACCAACGTTGACTTCAAATTGATCATATTGCTGTAGGCTGTCTTCGGGTGGATCGCTGCTCTTTATAGGAGTACTTGCTTGAATTTCGGTCACTGGCATGTATATTCGCGCCTCAATGCATTCAGGAAACAAATAACAACAAAGGCTGTATCGTCGGCCATAAGATGAGAACGTCAATCATGTATCTTGACAGAGGACCCTAATCTGAACATGATAGCAACTCTCATCTAGCTGAGGCCTGGCGTAATATTCAGTCTATTGTCAAAACAGTGGTAAAGGTACTTTGTAATATACGTGTAAAAGTTAATAAAAGTCAGTGGATTCCGGCCACCTTAGCCAAGTTGACTGAAGCGAGATACTTAAACAGGTTTAACTGTTATATCAGCCAAAAAGTGGAAAATATGAATGTCAGATGAGCGTCACTGGTCGTGTTATGCTCTGATTGTTGCAGTACTCTTTCGGTGGTGCTGAGAAGGACGAGTGTAGCAGCACAACAAAGTCCTTCTGACAGACTTCTCCAGTCTTCGTCTAACTACTTCTAGCACGTCGTCACCTTTGAATGGCAAGATGATATAGACTGGTTTCGTCTTACTGTTTAGGATGTTGTTCTGATTCCTACCCATTTTGCGTGCTTGTTAATAAGGCTTTCTGGGTACCCATTCCTCACTAGCATGTTTTTCAAAGTCATCATTTAGTAGTCTAGTTTGCTGTCGAAACAAATTTTCCTGGCCGTATGGAACAGCATTCTGATTACATTCATTTTGTGCTGGATCGGGACAAAGCTCCTAAAATGAAGGTACCTTCTTGTCTAAGCTTTTTATAGATAAACGTTTCGATAAATCCATCGATTCTTTTCACTCATGAAACATCTAAGAAACTAATCATATTATTTTTTCGTACTCAATCGTAAAGGTCAGGTTTGGGTGACATGAATTGAAGCTCATTAGTAATGCCTCTGCCTCCATTTTGCTATTGCATATAATGACTATGTCGTCCGTGTAACGCTGCTACAGTTGCGTCTGACCAATGAAGCACTTCAAAATACTAGTTTTCATACTTGATCGAAATAAACCAGCGAAAAGGAGACTCAGGGCTTCCGATTGTGACCCCATCAGTTTGGCGGGATAACTGTTCGTTGAAGTGGAACTAGATGTTCTTGGTGCATAGATTTGGAAGCTTCCTCAACTTCTTTGTTGAGATAGGTATATATAATCAAGTATGTAGAGTATCCAGCTGGCGAGTACAACTGAAATTTATGAATTCATCAAATCTTTTTGCGCATTCGTTGCTTATTTCAGTTTTATAAATCATGGTGCGTTGTGGTCGGGAAATTCAGTTGTGCATATGCAGATAAATGAGATTATCTGATATATATATGCGGACAGTAAGCATTGGATTTTGTGTTCTTTTGTAAACTGTTGGAAGGGCAGAGTTGCGTGACTTATCGTGTGAATGAATTGAGCATACGTAACTGAGCAGGTATATTTGAGACGAATCATGTTCAAGGTCATCCCTAATACTGGATAAGCCGAATCACGCCCACAAGTCAATTACAGCGAAAGTTGTAACGCTGATATGTGCCGAGCCACCATCTACTTCGATGTCATATGTTAACCGAAGTAGGCTGAGGATGGTAAAAAGCTAACATTGGTCAAATAGTTCATGGCGTTAGTCCGTGTAGTCTTTTATTGTGATCTCAGCTATATTGCTAAATATAGTCTCCTAGGCTTAGGTCCACAAAGCAAGGGAAACCAATAGTGGGAAAATGTATGGTGGTATCACCGAGAGAGTATTTTTGATATGAAGGATATATTCAAAGCTATACAATTTTTTTCTGTTGAGTGTACTATTATCTTGCTGAAACTTTTCTTCCGTTTCATGTCATATATGTTTCTACGTGTATCTTCATAGGCTTCTTCGTTTGCTCATAAGGTTTCTCAGTCTTATACTACTACAACTTTATCTGGGGTGTATATATTTTTGTGAGCCTTGTAATCATCCACGTTTACTGCAGACCACCTGTCGTTCGTACCGTTGTATTCTGAACCTTCAAAAAGAAAGAAACGCAATTATCCACCTTGTGCACATTCGTGCAGTAAGCAATGAGTGATACCTATTATGTCTAGGTTCATGATGCTACCTGGTTGCTCAAACCTCGTCACGGGGCTCGAACTAGTGACCCATCCGTTAAAAATCATTTTCCTAAATCAATTAGCCACAGTTCCACTTTCTGAATAGTTTACCGTACAAAGATGTTATTAATTTCCGAGATACTAAGATTTCATTCCACTTTATTTTGTCTTTTTTATTTAGTATTTTCGTTTCTCTGTCGGTGGGATGTCAGATGTTTCCGAAATCAAAGGTCATCGGCGTACGTATGTTGGTGCAATGCCCGGTAAAATAATTCAATGTCTTAAAAAAACAAAGACAGAGAATCCTCTTATTCTGATTGACGAAGTAAGTTATCTTGAAAACTAGTGACTTTTTATCCATTTTATGGGGAAAACTTTACATCTTGTACACATCAGTTCGGCGAATGGATCATATTTTCAAAAGTACCATTCATCCCAGTTCCAGCTGACGTTCAGCTACTGGTGATTAAGTATTGCAGTGACTTTAAAAAGCCTATCAGGTTATGTTAGTTAGTTGGTTGGAAACAAAGCTGCAGAAATTCCTAGACCTAGGTTTCGTGTTTGTTGTCACTCGTCAGCAACGCTCGTCTGGAGAATTATTTTGCAGTGACCAATCCACTGAGTTCTACAGAAGGTCAGTCATGACCGGAATAACTGAATGAGGTGATGTCTCTGACTACGGCACTGGGTGATATGGGTTCCAGTCTCAAGCAGGATATCAGTCTCGTCGAGGTTCCGACGAATACCAACAATCACGAAGCGTAGATCAAATAGGGTTTTCCACAGATTGTCTCCAAGCAACTGACTTCCACCAAAGGTTACCACAATCTTCTTCTGTCCGTCATCGTTGCAAGTATTTGTTTCCTGAACTAATAAATAAGCATGAGCGAGTTGGATTATGCAACTACTGCTAATAATGGACACCCTTAGGAACTAGATATTAATTCTTAAAATCTAAATATTATTGCGCAGCCGATGATGAGCAGCTAATTGTTCGGAAATATTTCTTCATTCTATCTGGTTCTAAATGTTAAGATGGGAGTACTCGATGCACAAAAGAACGGATTTTTATCTATTCAAAACACTCACAGTTCACACAATCTAAGCCGATGATCTATGTCTTATGTCACACAAGCTCTAAGATGTACAGGCGAAAACCAACAAGTTGGCAGAAGAGGCAGGGTAGCGAAGGCGACATTTCCTTCAGGTAAACATAGAGAAGACAGAGGTGATGAAGATACCTAGCCAACAACAACAACAAGGAGCACCGTCAAAGGGAGAAATGTAAATGAAGTTGTCTCTTTCACTTACCTACCTACCTAGGCAACATCGTCTCAACTACAGGGGCACAGACAGACAGGCACAGATGAGGATGTGGAAGCCAGGATCGGAAAGACATCAAGACAGACGTTGGTTAATCTGTGGAGACCTACTGCACTACACTACACTACACTACACTACCTCAGCATGAAGAAGAAGATCCGGATTTTCAACACTAATGTTAGTCAAGTAAGTCAGTGCTTCTTTGTGTTGGTTGAGAGACTTGACGCGTTACGGAAAGCATTTTGAACAAACTTCAGACATACATGGACAGCTGTCGCCTACGCTCACTGGATCCTGAAGATCAGGTCATATATGAGAAGACGAGAAAGAATAATCGGGGATGAAGTGTGACCTGACAACGAAGCAAGCAAGTAAGCAAGCGACCAACCAAGAAGTTATTGCCCAAGAAATATGCAGTGGAAGAGAGTGGAGATGGATTGCATTGGATTGGATTGGATTGGACATAGACTGAGAAGACGGTTTGGGGACATGACTTGCTAGTGCAGTCGGTTGAGTGTAAGGCGAATGCGACAAGAGGAGTTGGGGTTCTGAGGTGTGAGGGTGATATGGAGGAGATGGTGTGAGGAAGATGTGGAAGGTTATAGGCATTGGTGGAGCGAGGTTGAGAAGACTGCAGAGAAGGGAGTGAAATGTTGACGTGTTAGTGAAGCTTTATGTTCCACTGGGACCCGAAGGGACAAATGAATAAATTAGCAATTAGAAATGTCACATAGTGAGTGAGGAGTAGTATGATTTACTGGATAACATTTCGGACATAATTTATTGTTTATAATCATATCATATCAGCATGACTTTGTAAAATAGATTATATTTGAAGTGTTAATCTATGAATGATGGTGTTATAAATTTCAAGTTGGATGTCTATTGGTGTCGTGAATGCTCACAACTGAGGAGACTGTGGAGAAGGGGGTGATATGGCGACGTGCTACTGAGGCTGTATATTCCACTAGGAACCCAAGGGTTAAATAATGGTAATTGCTGATTGTGAATAATAGTCCATATTAGAAACACTACATATATGTACATCAATTCATTACAGTAAATCTTGTGAAAGATAACCTGGATAGAATGGCGATGAACCATTTCATCGGATGATTGACAATTCGCATTTCACAAGGCAGTTAATGAACTCTTGGATATGATGGTGTGTGTGCATTTTGATTCGCTATAACCTGTGTACTGTGCTACAGTCCTATTATGTGGCTCTGAAATATGACCATCAAAAGTAGAAGACTTCAGGTGTTTAACAACCGTTGGTTTCGTAGCATATACCGTTTCATGGTGTTACCGCCTGAGTCAGGTGTAGAGTTTTAGGTCGGAGAGGTAAGACAGTGGATACCGTTGTGAATCTTTACCAACTCAGATGGCTGGGATAAGTGTTGTGTGCCTAGCCACCGTCTGCCTCGTCACACAATGTTGGTCGAAGTAGGTTCAGGCTGGAAAATGAGCAGTTGGAGACTCGATATCAGTAGCGCAGATGCATACATACATCATCCTCGCACTAACCGCTATACTTAATTTCCTTATCTTTTTGTTCTTCCTTCTTTTCCTTTACTACTTTCTACTTCCTTTGACCGATCTTTCTTTCCTTCTTCATCTTCCATTTTACCGCCGTGTTACTTAATGTGCTGATATGAGACGTGGCAACTTGAACCGTTACTCAGTAATGCCTAGTCCTATGTTGATCTTGGTGATGATGATGGTGACGAGACCTTTCCGACGAAATAATGTTTCACCCTTGAGCAATAACAGGAGAATAAGCTCGATACCCCAATATGTTTTTAGACACAATGAGGATTATATTCTCTAATATGATAGAATATTCTTAATACAACAAAACAATAGATTGGTGGTATAATTATTCAGCTCTTTAATAAGAATGTCGTTTTTGCTATTTAAAAAAAAATTATTGTGTCAGGTCGCATTTTGTATCTGACAGCTCGCCTCTCAATCGTTAATCCCACCAGGTGAGATTGTACTACGTCCTCAGGATATAAAATCAGTTTCTGTAACCGGGTGACGTTCAGTCTGATGATGCCGAAAATAATGAGAATTGGTACATGTCTGTGCTCCTACCAGCATAGTGTTAAAAATTTCATCTATTGCAATTCCATTATCACCCACACAACTACCTAGATAGGTAAACTTTTCGAAAGCAGGGAGTAGGACACTGAACGAAGGGGTATATGAGAAGAGTTTATAATTAAGGGAGAGGAAAACTGTTCTCATCCTCAGTTATACCAGAACATTTAAAGGACAGTGTTGAATTATGTTGAATAAACGCTAACAACTGATCAGCTTGAAACATAGCATCCTAACATGAAGTCACTGAGTGAATATAAGTCTGGTTTGTATAATCAAGCCTGTGTTGTCCAACTACAGCCGTCAATGCATAAGGTATTTGATAGTTAGATTATCATAATGAATTGTAGAGTATAAGGAGCAGACAAAGTCTTCTCACATATTAATCTTGATTGTAAAGCATCATAATTTGTACGAAAGGTTTAGAGAATATAATATCTAAGATTAGAAAGTCTGAAGTCAAAGTGTGAAATTGTCGATAACACTGGTCAGTTCACTTATTCGGAAAACTACATCAATTGTTCAGTTACTATAAATGAATGATTACAGTTTTGGAAATCGACAACGATACAAATGTTATTCACTTCTGATCTTCGCTAAAAATTCCTTGTTTGTGTCCTCACCTTTCTACTTCGTTTAATTTCTCATTGTGTTGTTCTGAAACGTGACGATTTGTACGAGTTCTCACGTTTATTCTTTTGGTTATTTTTATTGGCTATACTCATTGTACATGAGTGTTTTTGGCTTAATTATAGATTGAATCATTTCAAAGTGTTATTTTTATCTTGGTGACTACCAGTGGAATTTAGTAGGCGCGTTTCTTGCTTGGTTTACCTGCACCCCAGTGAGTGATGTTGCTCTCACCCACTCTCTCTCTCTCTCTCTCTCTCTCTCTCAAACTCAGTGTATCCATTGCTTCAAACTCTAGAGCGTTATCCGCTAGGCCACTAGGGCACAAGAGCCACCTTTGTCTTTTTATCTAATTGTCAACTGCGAATAGATTTCCAAAGTCAGTCGGTTTCTAGGTTTCCTATCTCCACAGTATAATTGTCATTTTCTTTTCTTTTTATTATTTCTTTCAGATTGATAAGTTGGGTCGTGGATGGCAGGGTGATCCAGCCAGTGCTCTCTTAGAATTACTCGATCCAGAGCAGAACGCCAACTTTTTGGACCATTATCTTGATGTGACTGTAGACCTAAGTCGTGTGCTTTTTATTACCACAGCAAATCAGTTGGATACTATTCCCGAGCCTTTGAGAGATAGAATGGAAGTTATCGAAGTATCAGGTTATGTTGAAGAAGAAAAATTGGCTATCGCAAAAGTAAGTATTCCATGATAAGGATTTCATTATTGCTTATTTGTTAAATACCATTTTGCGCATTAGAGAACTATTTTACAATTTGATACACGGTCATAAGTAAATACGGTATAATACTTCACTGTTAACAGTAAGTTCATATGTTACCCCATTTGATTATATACAATGAGGAACTGCTGCAACAAAGAGGATTGTTTTGAACTTTACGTCGTTGAAATAAAACACTCAATTCTTCTCCCATATGACTTTTATTCTACATGGTATGAATTCTAAAATCCACTTTGAATTAATTTATTCGATAAACATTATGATGCATGTAATCCCTAACAGATAGTGATGCTTTTCTCGATAATGCAATAATATTGTATTTTCTGTCATAGTTGTAGGTAGCTTAGGTGTTCCGATTTCTGTGTTAACATTCAGTGTATAAAACAAATCTACCCACAGAAGTACATACCAAAATTAAACTCAAGGGCTGACATGCTATCTCGTTATTCTCTGTCCGTTAATCTGTGCGTCTCATTCGTTAATGGACGCTTTTGAGGCAGTGTCTATGCAGTATTTATTTTAATATCATCCCACAAGACTTATTCACTTGCTCAGGCAGTTGCCTGAATCCTAGTGAACTGATGATATAATAAATAAACACACTTTTTTTTGGCATTTATCTATCCAATGTGTCTTTGAAACTGATGAAAAGATATTGTCTTTTCAATGATCAGATGTAAACGCTAAGAGTGTAAAATATTACACCTTGTGCTTTCGGAACGGTCGATAAGGTTGTGAACCTTCAGCTTCTGAGGTGGCATGGATATGTTGTGGCGCAAGCCAAGCCATCGCCTACCTCGATGTATAATGCTAGGTTAGAAGAAGGTTTAACGTAGCCAAACTAAGATGTGGGGCTAGTCCATGAAATATCTGACTCTTGGTCTTAGCCGTGTGGGAAGGTGTAGACCGTCTGGTTGGAGACTCTCGATGACATCTGAAAATTGGTTACAGTGGTACAGATCTGTTTGCTGTCTCACATCTTCCAAAGATTGAATGTTTTGACCAACTTTCATTTTTAAATTCATTCTCCATCCATACACCTTTGTCCACGTTATTGTCAGACTTTTTCTATGCAGGCTACAAGTCGAATCGAATCATTTCTGTGCAAGATTCTACGTTGATTTTGTCTATATGCCTGTGGAACAAAACTCTGATATTATTAAGTTTATTGAATGAGGGAAAATAGTCTGGAGTTAATTTAAATTTAGCCCTACAATCTAGTGAATTTCTTGAACTAGATAAAAAGAATTCAGATAAGAACAAAAAGTGTTCATACAGTGTCATATAGTTGCTGGATATGATTGAAACGTACTTTAGAATTGCGATTTGTAGGATTATCTTAACCAGATTAGAAAAGCTTTCTCTTAAAATGTATGATTTCATGTTTTCTGATGGGAGTTTTTCAAGAAAAGTTGATCCTTGGAAATTTCACAATTACCCACCTACCTTCATCACTTGTAGGATTGATCTCAGGATCTGCACTACTATTTAGCCAAGATGTTAGCCTTGTAAAAGGAAAAATTACCAACAGCCTGCGAATTCGGGTTATTTGAAGATTATTGGCAGTTTATACTTTTCTAAGATTTTTAGAAATAGATTAAGAAGGATTCGGTAACTAAGGAAGTAACCACTAATGAGTTAATTTGCCTTAGTACTAATATTGGAGTGAAATGCTAAATCGGATATTGACAGCTGTCCACTGATGCTGGATAAAGTTAGAATTTTCATCTCATTCAACTGTCTATTTTCACTTAAGGGATATCAGCAACAAGTCTATGTCATATTTACGCCCTAGTTAACTTATGACCAGCGAAAGAAAGCCAGTAACACATACTGCACACAAACAGAAAAAATGTCGCCTAATTATCCACTCTCTACCGATTTCTAAACGACAGCATGCATTAAACTAAGTTTTCATAGATTGAGCTAGCTAGATGGTGCTCCTAAATGCTTCTTAGTCATGCGAATGCTAAGCAGATAAAGAGGGAAATAAAATAAAATAATTTAGAGAGACTAGATAAAAGAAGACCTAGCAATTAATTCGCTGTAATTCCATCAATTTATTATCGTATGAAGATGGGAATAGCAACAAAAGTCTTTGGTTATTAACAGTTGACTTCGTGTACATGTATCGATGAGTGATTCATCACTTCCATTTCATTTATATCTGTGTTCTGTGAAGCTACTTACTTTGATACTTTTAACGTTAGATTATTTCCAGCCCACTTTCATCTTCACATGTTGATTTTTCGCATCGTAACATGTGTCAAGAACTATCGTTTCCACGTTTTGTCTCCTAAATTGTGTAAAATTAATTCAGTTTTGAAGTTTATGGGGATTTATTAATTTCAGGTTGATACTCATCATGAACTGACATCACTTAGAGAAACATTGGAAGCCTGGGGGCACTGGACAGCTGTTTCGTTTTAGTATAAGACTCCTCAGCAGTGCGCATCCATGACCACCCCGCCAGGGGTTGAACCCAGAGGCCAGCGGGTTAACATTAAGCCACTGAGTCGCGATCCAATGGTTTATATTTCTTACTTCTATCAGTTCAGTATATAGCCCAACCTCCATCCAATGTCATTGTTGAGTAACTGGTCTCATGTTCATTTCGGTTGGCCCTACCAGTCACGACTTCTCTTTGGAGCTTCAGGAATCACCTCTCGAAGCGAGTCACCAATAAACACTAGATAATTCAATGTGAGGTCATGGGGGCGGATTGCTGAGAACTTCTGTACTTGAACGAAACAGTTATCAAGTGGTCCCAGGTTTCCAATGTATTCTTCAACTCATGTCAGTCCATGATGAATGCCAACCTGACGCTTAGAACAATAATTAGGAAAGTATAACAATTATGTATAGTTGGTATGGAAGTAAAGCTTGGGCATTGTGGTAGATTGTAATTCCATTTTAGTCTGTTGATTAGAAATCTTAAGAGGCAGCGAAGACGGGACTTCAGGTGAACATAGAGAAGGCAGAGGTGATGAAGATACCTAGCCAACAACAACAACAAGAAGCACCGTCAAAGGGAGAAATGTAAATGAAGTTGTCTCTTTCACTTACCTACCTACCTAGGCAACATCGTCTCAACTACAGGGGGCACAGACAGACAGGCACAGATGAGGATGTGGAAGCCAGGATCGGAAAGACATCAAGACAGACGTTGGTTAATCTGTGGAGACCTACTGCACTACACTACACTACACTACACTACCTCAGCATGAAGAAGAAGATCCGGATTTTCAACACTAATGTTAGTCAAGTAAGTCAGTGCTTCTTTGTGTTGGTTGAGAGACTTGACGCGTTACGGAAAGCATTTTGAACAAACTTCAGACATACATGAACAGCTGTCGCCTACGCTCACTGGATCCTGAAGATCAGGTCATATATGAGAAGGCGAAAAAGAATAATCGGGGATGAAGTGTGACCTGACAACGAAGCAAGCAAGTAAGCAAGCGACCAACCAAGAAGCTATTGCCCAAGAAATATGCAGTGGAAGAGAGTGGAGATGGATTGGATTGGATTGGACATAGACTGAGAAGACGGTTTGGGGACATGACTTGCTAGTGCAGTCGGTTGAGTGTAAGGCGAATGCGACAAGAGGAGTTGGGGTTCTGAGGTGTGAGGGTGATATGGAGGAGATGGTGTGAGGAAGATGTGGAAGGTTATAGGCATTGGTGGAGCGAGGTTGAGAAGACTGCAGAGAAGGGAGTGAAATGTTGACGTGTTAGTGAAGCTTTATGTTCCACTGGGACCCGAAGGGACAAATGAATAAATTAGCAATTAGAAATGTCACATAGTGAGTGAGGAGTAGTATGATTTACTGGATAACATTTCGGACATAATTTATTGTTTATAATCATATCATATCAGCATGACTTTGTAAAATAGATTATATTTGAAGTGTTAATCTATGAATGATGGTGTTATAAATTTCAAGTTGGATGTCTATTGGTGTCGTGAATGCTCACTACTGAGGACTTCCAACACTAGCACAAAGCAGCTGCCCACTACTTGCCATCTTTAATCCTTCCGCAGTTGATATCAATTCTTGATGTATTTCTCAGCTTTCGGATATTATGATTATCATTATTTTTTTTTCATCTATTAATTTAGCGTTACCTTCTACCGTTAGCTGCTCGAAATAGTGGTCTAGACGACAATCGTCTCATGGTAGATGATAATGCTATCAAACGTCTCATTAAGCAGTATTGTCGTGAAAGTGGTGTACGTAATCTCCAAAAACATATTGAAAAGGTGAGGTTTATGATTTTACTTTATTCCCGTGTTTGGTATTTATTTCCATTTTAGACATTTATGATTTCAAATGAATGCAAATGCCTTGTGCATTGTTAAGGCCACAAGTCAAGTCATGCCTGTTAGTGATACCATCTAGCTGCTTGAATCTGAGAAGTTTCATCAGCATTGAAAATCGACTGTTTGACGAATTGGGTCACTTAATGATTAGTAGAAAAGAATGTGAAGGCGATTACTTTACCATAATTATCATCGTTTATGATATATCTTCTCCAAAGACGAATGACTTGAAAGTTTACCCTAGCAACTGTTAGGCCAACCAATTACAGATCTCTATTTTATGAAAACCTAATTTAATCGAAATACTGAAACTTGACTAGCTGCTCCAACATGTGCTAGGATGGCCTTTAAAGTCACCCTCCAAAAAAAGCTGGAATCTCAATGTAACCCCCAATCTCTTGGCGTCATTTAACGCGCTCATTTGTATAATTTAGGTCAGTTGTCATTGTCAGTTTGATTTAAATCTTGATAAAGGAGCCTCATTGGTTCATGTGGTGCATAGATTTTAAATTTATTGCCTTTGTTTCTGTGCCTACAAAATGGCTAGTGCGCTTAGTACTTGAGTTCCTTCCGACTTGCGGTAAAGGATAGTTATCGAAGCTTTTTCTACCCAATAGGTCATGGGTTCAAACCCTACTACGCCGACCAAAGTTTGGGCAGCCACACAATAGGTGTAACTCATCGCCTACCATACAAGTGTGCGTATGGTTGACGAGTTGATTTCAATTTCAACTTTGAAATCGACCTTTTACTCGTCTCAGGAAGCATATCATTTGTATTACGTTGTGAGATGGTGATACATGCCCAGTATCATATTTCTTATCTTTGTGTATTCTCTATTTTTCTGGATTTAGATTGTTCGAAAAGTTGCTTATCAGTTGGTGAATGCAGATAAAGATCCTCCAATTCAAGTGGATGCTGATAATTTGACAAATTATGTTGGTCAGCCTATTTGGACATCGGATCGTCTATATGAAGCAATCACTCCATCCGGTGTTGTTATGGGTTTAGCTTGGACGTCTATGGGTGGATCTGTTTTGTATATTGAATGCACTAACAAACGACCTAGACACTTATCTGATGCTTCAGGATCTTCTGACAGTGATTCTGATGAATCTTCTCATAAGAAAGGTAAGCCAATATTATATATATATATATATGTACCCATTATTTCAAGGCAGTTTTCATCACGGATTGACACCATTTGGAGACTGGGTTTCAACCCACTTGCCGGCTGATAACATGCTCTCCATGAAACCTGAAGTCCATGAGCTGAGTCTTTTTTGCATTCTTGGATATGCACTTCTGAAGAGTCCCAAACTAGAGGGCAAATACTTTTCAATGCTCTCAAAACTGCCTTGAAATCAATCAATCTCCCTAAACCACTTTCATCTCTTGATATGAATTTGCTTTCCTAGATTTTCGATTAAATGTTTACGATGCACGTTAGGTCGTTTTCTTTTAACGCTAAGGTATCTAATTATCTTCTGACTTAAAGTAAATATATTAACTTGATAGAATGTGATAAATTTCCGGAGCTGTATCGCACCATTTATTTTTTGGGAAACCTTTAGGAAAACTTCATCAAATTAATTTAATTGTTTGTGGCTAGCAGAAGAATCCAGGACGCGCGTTTCGCCCCATTTGGGACTTATCAACTGGATATACTTTCATCCCAGTGAGTGATGCTGTTCCCAGTGGAACTCAAACTTCGTACCCATCGCTTCAAACGCCAAGGCGTTATCCACTGAGACACGATATCCATGTTTTGTATAACGAGTATTATTTTTTACTATTTATTAATATAGTTGTAATTTTCCCTTTTATTGGATGGAACTGTTCATCGTAGGTTCTTCTGCTAGCCACAACCAAGTAAATTATCATAACGAATATTCAGGCAATATCGAGGCATCCACATTGGAGCCTATATGCCAATAGAGATCGAACAATTCAATCCAATAAAACAATAGAGAATTACAAATATGCCAATAAACTTCTTTATACTTCAAAACCTATAACTTGTTAGGCAGATCCTACCAAAGTAACAGGTTTTTCACCTAACTTTTGTATGTGGTGGTAGACCTTGAAGAAATTGTGAATGACAGCTTTCTCCAGTTACTATACGTCCACAAATCTCTGCGTCGAAAGTTCCTTATTGTTTTGTTTTTTTTAGCGAGTTTTGACAAGACCTTCTTGCATATGAATAGCGTGACGCGTATTGATCAAGGTACATCGGCACATGTTTAGAAAGATAAATATTGCTTCAGTGAGTGGTGATGTACTGACGAAGTCTTAAGTGATACATATTCGAAGTAAAGTTCTAAAAGGATCGATTATAAGGAATATGCTAGAGGGCTATATTTTTGAAAAAAAAACTTAGGAAACAGGGATCATAAAGAAAAAATATTTATGTTGAACCTCCAGTGATGAATTACTTATTCCACTCTAGGCTTTCTGTAAGATTCAAACAAACTAATTTATATTAGGTGATGATTGAAGGCGAAATGAGAATTTGGACCACGGTCGGACTGGAACAAGCGACAATCGAGTTTCCGGACCGGTGCTCTACCAATGGAGCTACGAGGTCCAACTGCTGGATGAGATTTGTATTTCACTTCAATTACCAAAGGTTTCGCCCGACTATCATGTGAATTCGTGGCTCCTTACTACCTCTTGTTCGTACTCACACTGGACTTCTCATCCCAATCCAAATCTAACTGAATTAGAGAGGGGGCATCATATTGATTATCATTATGACCATCAGAGATAAAGATCTGGTCAGTAATCGGACGTCGCTTAGTTGGTAGAGCATCGGGTCGGAAACGCGGTGGTCACTGGTTCAAATTTTCATTCTACTTTCAATCGTCACCCAGTATCAATATTAGTCTGCCGAACAACAGCTATCTCAGATAATCAAAATAGTAAACTAATTTATGTCCAACTGGTTGTATATACGCAATCCCGTGTAGATTTTCTGAACTTTTACTAAATTGAATATTTTGGAATAGTGTTCATCCTTTGTAAACAGACTGTTTCCCATGGATCTAACCTAGAATCATGTTACATCTTTCTGTTTAATTATAGATTCACTTTCAGATGTAATATTCAGTGAATATTTTCGTAGTAGACGTTCTTTCTTCCGTGATTATGCATCACCTTCATAAACTAAACATGATATTTTCAAATTATTCAGTCCCATCACTTTTTTGTTACTGCAATGGTCTGATGTAAACTATCATGTTTATAAAGTAAATAAGCCAATGGAGTCCGACAAAAATTTTCAGAATTCTGTAAATTCTATTAACCCTTCGAATAAACCATTTATTTATAAGCTTTTCAAAAAATTGATAAACTTCCAATTTTTTACTGTGTGGCATTTTAAACGAACTTTTATTTACTTATAGGTACCTTGCAACTAACTGGAAGTTTGGGTAATGTCATGAAGGAATCTGTATCTATTGCGCATACATTTGCTGCACAATTTGCTGCTTCCGGTGCTCCATGCTCCATATCTTCTGGTGAGGAGCGATGTATGCTTAGTCCTAGTGAATCGTCTAAAGCAGGACTCTTTCTTCAAGAGGCTGATATTCACTTACATGTACCTCAAGGTGCTACCCCAAAGGTTGGTTTATAACCTCATCTACTGATTTACCTCTTCTTCCTAAAACTCTACACCTGACTTTTGCATTACTCAAGTGGTGACACTACGGAATACGGCCTATACTACGAAGGCAACGGTGGTCAAACACTTGAAGCCTTCTTATATCTTCTACTTTCAATGGCCATGTTTCACAGCCATACAGTAGAACAGAGCGAACTGCTGTGCAGTACACGCGACCCTTAATAGACAATCGGATATCACGGCGGCGCCATAGGTGGCGTAAATTGGCAAAAGCCAATCGAGCCTTTTGTATGCGTGCCACCAAAGGTTGGTAGACATCAGTTATGATAGTTAGTTTCATTCCTTTTCATTGATTAAGTTATCTCATAACTTTTATCATCGAAAGAAAATAGTAAAACATTTAATATTGTTATTGAACCTCATTTTTACCGTTTTTTCCCAAAAGGATGGTCCATCTGCAGGAATAACTATGGTAACTGCTTTGTTAAGTCTAGCGTGTGATAAACCTGTTCGTCCTGATTTGGCTATGACTGGTGAAGTGAGCTTGACGGGCAAGGTTTTACCAGTGGGTGGTATAAAAGAAAAAATAATTGCTGTAAGTTTAATATGCCATCGATTTTCAATCTTTCATCTTGTATGATTAAAGATGATAAATATGGAGTAGTTTATTGTTTAATGCTTTGGAAGAAAACTCGTCGGTTTCTAACTTCGAAAACTTGCACTAATCAGAAGTGTAGTCTTTTTTCATTGTCATCTTTGACTGGTTGTGAGATTTGGGCATGATGATATGCTTTCGCTTCCTATCACTGTCTAATTATAGCACTATTTATAATTCATCACTTACGTAGTATAATGAAACTTCCTCCTACTTCTTATTAAATACAAGTTCTGTTAGGAGCAGTACCGAACAATAAACGGGTTTTACCTAAAGCGCTGGAAACAGACAGCATACAAGCTCTAATAGCCTATAAACAAGGAGTTAGTAGGAAAAGAATAACATCAAAGTAGACAAAGTTGTGTGACATGATAAACAACCTGAAGATAAAGGTTAGTGCAAATATTCAAGCCTCCGAAGATGTAAAGGAGTGAATATATCTCCGCTATTATGACCAATTTTCAGCCATGAGTTCCTCAACCACAGATTTCTTTCTTCTTGGGGATCCCAGTCAGTCAGTCTACATCTCCCCACACGACTCTCAAACCTCTGAAACCAATATGCAACATATCTCATAGACTTGAGTATTAACATTACCATGAACTGTCACCGATGAATTCTCTATTTATAAGCTAAAAAGGGTACCTTTCCTGTGAGTTGATTTATTATTTCTGTGACATTTCTATCCGGTTGATATTACACAAACAGTTAGAATTGATGTCACATTACCCAATGGAATTTTTTTTATTTATTTTCTGTTGCATTACAAATTTTAATCAAAGAAAGAAGTAATTTGTAAGCAAAACGATACTTCTCCATCACCTATTTCTATACTGTATATAGATTGCATAGACTTAATCATAATTAAGTGACATTTTTTCAATGGACTGCCATAGATCAGACGACTAAAAATCAGAGGAGAGATTTATTCAATATGGCTAACAAGAACCAGCTAGTTACAGGTAAAATAATCCACTGTTCACCTGCCTCCTAGAATGTCTTCTCTCATCGTCTTAAACATACACTCTAACATATCAATCATTGATGGTGCGTATACATAAAAAATAGATGCCAGACTGCAGTCACTCAACTAATAAAACGGTTCAAGAGAGCGTGATTGATTTGGTGGGGTGAGATTCTTACAGTACCCATTCACAAAGTGGAGTATTTAATGTGTGAAAAGTGTTTGGCGTGTAAGTCCGTTATTAATGGTGTCCAAATTTTGGTTGCTGCTGTACTTGGTAGTCCATGGAAAATGGATTTGCAAAACTAAGGTGTATTTCCGTTTAGTTCATAAATGCATTGGTCACCTCATTGTTTTTCAGATACCTAGACATCGCCTCACAAACTGTAGGTCAATAGTCATTGTGTCGCTTTCTATCTAGGTACTGTCTTTGATTGGTTTGATGGGATTGTGCTACCTTGATATGATGGTTGAGGTTGCATATCACAATGACCCAAGGAGCTATGCTAGTGAAACGTTTGATTTTTCGAGGCCCTACCATACCAGAAAGATCTGTTGGATACTGGTAAGACGAAAACGGTTACCGTCGTGGTGTAAATTACTACACTATGATGAAGGTCCGATGCCAAAGTCTTACTGGTGGCTGGACGGGAAGGGAGCGGTAGTAGAGTGCTTTTCTTGCATGATGGACAGTGCCACGCTGATGCTGTCTTTCCTACCGAAAGGAGGGGCTGGGCTTACAAAAGGTCGACTTAAAAATAGCATACTCCCACGGTATACCGGCTCCGGCGATGCGGGTTCATAGTCGAATTTACAGGAAGCGAACTAAAATCTCAATTCTAACCCTTCTTTTTTAAGCGCCTCCAGAAGGAATAGCTTTTCATGGTGTAGGCATCTGGGAAGTGTCAGCTACCCGTACACTTCTAGTAACATACAAGACGTAATCAAGCATAACTCCACCCTCCTTACTTCTGTCTGCTCCTTTGCCTTCTCTTCCTGATACCAACATTAAACTTTTAACAACTTTCTCAATCCTTCATTGTGATACCATTGCCAACGATCCATACTACCGAAACACGGCTCCTAGTTTCCGTAGACTCCCCTACCGGCTTCATATTTGAGCTCTCAACGTCCGAACCCTATAGTAAATTGGACAGCAGTCATCGCTCGCCGGAATTCTGGAACCTCGAACCATGGACATATGCTGTGTTCCTGATCAAGACTTGACACCAGTCGGTGAAGTCTGTAACTGTTGGTCTTAGCCGTGTAGAGAGGTGTAGTCTATCTGGCTGGGGTCCCCGAGACTATAGGAATCAGCAGTTGGGGACCCCTGCTGACATGGCTGAAAATCAGTCACAATGGCGCAGATGTATTCACTTTTTGATAACTTCTATAACTTGAATGTTTCCACTACCCTTTATCTTCAAGTTACCACACTGCACAGTAGTAGTATACAAACAACAAATGGATAGAAAAAGATTGACATCAGAATAGAGAAAGTTATGTGAGCGAATAAACGATTCTATGATAATGGTTAGTGACAATAATCAAGCTTTATAAGATTTCAAGAAGTGAATACATCGTCACTGTGATCGATTTTTAGCCGTGTTAGCAAGAGTTCTCAGATACTGATTCCAATCGTCTTGGTGACCCCAACCAGGCAATCAACATTTCTCCACATAGTTCAGACCAACCGTCAGGAACTTTATGGACTGGTATCACGTCTTGGTCTGGCCATTATGAAATCTCTTTCAACCCAATCCAACGCGAGCAATGCTACGAAGATATCTATGATCAAAACGCTGTAACTGCTTTATGTCTTCTACTTTCACCAGCCATGTTTAACCATCATATAACAGGATAGAACGGACTACAGCACAGTATACTTGTCCTTGAATAAATAGTCGGATGTCTTGCCGGTGCCAGGGTAAACAGTGCTGATGTTGAACAAAGAGTACTAGATGTCAGAAAACCGACAAATGTGTCATATGTTACTGATGTAGGATGGAGAATTAGAGTTCAAAACACCTTTTTGTGTTTCCACATCAGATATGCTTTTATTTACTTTTTTGTTACAGGCTAAACGTGGTGGAATAAAAATTCTCATTCTTCCAGAAGCCAATCGCAAAGACTTTGATGACCTTGCTTCGTTTATTAAAGAGGGTCTGGATATACATTTTGTCCAACACTATAAAGAAGTTTTTCCAGTTGCATTTTCACAGTTGTAATGATTTTTTTCTGTATCGTGTGAATAAACCATGTTTCAATCATCCGGAAATCTCCTTTTTTAAATTTTAGAACAAAAAAAAATTTACTGTAATCTTTTAAGCTCAGTTTTTCACTTAACCCTGTTCTTTTTATGTTACAAAGATAGCGTGTTCCATTCTTTCATTGTATAACAAAAGTTTGTATTTCTTTTCAAGAAAAAATCTGTATTAAACTCGTCTGTTCAACAAGTTGAATAGGTGCGATCTTTAGATTGGATTGCTATATTATTTTCACTGGCCTTCAGTACTATTCATATCAAGTTTGCTTCCTTGTGCGTTGCAACTTTTGTTTTACAGGTAGACTTTCTCGATGTTACGTGGTTAAAGGTAATTGGCAGAAAGCTGGAGATTCAGGTTTCCAGCTAGTTAGCACTAATTGGCAAGGTGAGATCAAGATTCCCACTGAACGTGTCTCACCAATTGCTGAAGTAAATTACGGGACCACGGTGGTGTTTGAACCGTGACTGACCTTCCGTAAGACTCAGTTACATTGATTAGCTAATGGGGGGAAAACCCATTTTTTGTTGTCTAGTCCAAATTGCTGAATGGATTCTACTGACCATTGATCCTTCATGGTTTCAAACACGTCTTGGTGATAAGTGCTAACAAGCACGAATGTTCTCCACATATGGTTGACATCAGCTGAAGTGCATCGCAAATTTGAGTCTCTTCTACCCTTGGCGACGAAATTACAGAAACGATAAATCAAGTTCGACCAGCACTAGAGACTAGACACCGTAAAAGTTGGTAACTCTCCAATGACTAATAAATCATTGATCGAGAAGTCTTATGGCAATGTTTCTCACTGAAAGATGTGCCGAGTAGGTACATCACCTTATTGAAGGCTCTCTACTCGAACACTTGTGGGCGTGTTAGAACCTATGCTGAGATGTCCGGCGAGCTGTACTCGTTAAGTGGTGTCCGTCAAGGCTGCCCACTGTCTCCATTCCTATTCAATTTCATCATAGATATTCTTATAGAGGTCTCTCTCTTATCACCTGACTACACAGACGAATCACAGGAGAATTTTCATTAGACCTAGAATGTGCAGATGACATAGTTCTGTTGGGTGAAGACGCTGAAGAGATGCAGTGTCTTCTGAAAACTTTGAGTGTCAATTTGAGAATGTTTGCGACGCGTTTCTCACCACTCAACTGCAAATTGTTGCTCCAGGATTGGTCTTTAGTGGTGCCTCGGTTAACAATATAGAGTGCAGTGATTGAGTGTGTTGACCACTTCACTTACCTGGGAAGTAGGATCAGCCCTGGTGCACTGGTCAGTGGCCGACAAAATCTCTGCACGAATACAAAAGGCTCGGCTGGCTTTTGCCAACTCACGCCACCTGTGGTGCCTCCGTGATATCCGATTGTCTATTAAGGGTCGTGGGTGCTGCACAGCAGTCTGCTCTGTTCTACTGTATGGCTGTGAAACATGGCCGCCATTGAGTGTGGAAGACATGAGAAGGTTTGAGGTATTTGACCACCGTTGCCTTCGTAGGCCGTATTCCGTGATGTCACCATGTGAATAAGGTAGAAGTCAGGTGTATAGTTTTAGGGAGAAGAGGTAAATCAGTAGACGAGGTTGTGAGCCTTCATCGATTGAGATGGTTGAGACACGTGTTACGTATGCCTAGTCGTTATCTGACTCGTCACACAATGTTGGTCGAAGTAGGTGCAGGCTGGAAAAGGCCCGAGGTGGCCAGACTAAAGCATGGCATCAATGTGTATGAAGTATTTGACTGTTGGTTTGAGCCATGTGAGGAGATGCAGACTAAGGGGTTGGGGTCCACGGTACAAGTGAAACGAGTGGTTGGGGACTGTAGGTGATATGGCTGAGAACCGATGTTAGTGGCACAGATGTATGCATACATTATCCTCATTTTAACAACGGTATACCGAGTCTCATCATTTTCTTATTCTTCCTCTGTTTTAGTACTTTATATTTTCTTTGGCCGAACTTTCTTATCTTGCACTTCACTGCCGTTTTACCTGATGTACGGATATGAGTTGTGGTCAGTTGAACCGTTACGCAGTAGTGCCTCATCCTATGTTGATGATGATGACCAATCAATGTACACTTCTCGAGTCAGCTACTGCTATCGGAGGTATTACAACCAATTAGCACTCTGCCAATTTTGAGTGGCACTTTATTGGTGAGGTGAGACCCATTCGTCCCTAACTCATCCTGATGGTTAAATGCAGTCCCAACCGCTGCAGTATGTACCGTGATCACTGACATCGGTCTTATGGTACCTAACTATTGTAAGTTGAACAATATCACTTCACTTCGATGTGGTTAAACAGAGTTCATCGTGTTGATGGACAGATTACCTAACAAAATTTCTATCCCCTGTTCGTAAGATAATATGGCATCGATCAAAGTAACATTAAAATCTTTATCTCAGGGATTGTATGTTTCATCAGTCATTGAATCTGTCAGGGCTACTCTAAGATATTTCTCAGTCGGTGTTTCTTCCTCTACGATCTAGTTGACCTTAACCATCTGTGACTTTTAACAACATATCTTATTTATTTAGCTCATTAGCACCGCTTACACTCCCTGGCTTAAAATATCCTCTAATGTTATCATTCCTCAAGCAGGCAAAGTAAAGTCTCATTCCTTGTGCAGTTTCTAACGATTTCTAGTGAGGTACTTCGAAAGAATCTGTTCCACACCGCCCTTCACAGACACCCAAGTTTTTACAGAAAATATTGTCTTGTTCAACCCCCTTTCCAGCCTTCAAATTATGATTTGATATACCATTTGCTGATGTATTCACTGGCTTTTTGTTCCTAGACAGAAATCAGATTAACGACTGGTGTGCAGTGACTTTGAGTCTGTCACCATACTTTCAAGCCAACAGGAGTTTTATGATAAGATTTTAGGGGACATTAAGCAAAATATGATAAATTGGTTGGTTGCGACTAGCAGAACAATCCACGATACGCGTTTTGTCCCACTTTGGACACGTCAGCTGGATGTACCTGCACCCCAGTGATGTTGTTCCCACCGGGACTCGTACCCATCACTTCAAACGCAAAGGCGTTATCCACTATGCCACGGAGGAACGATAGCCACTTCTTGTACAACGGGTAGTAGTTAATACTATTTATTGACACACTTGTTATTCTCCGTTCCTTTGTTGGATGGAATTGTTCGACCTCTATTGGCATATGGACCCCTATGCGGATACCTCGATATTGCCTGAATGTTAATTATGATAAATTGGTTGTGGCTGGCAGAAGAATCCAGGATGCGCGTTGTACAAGAATTGGGTATCGTTCCTCCGCGGCATAGTGGATAACGCCTTTGCGTTTGAAGCGATGGGTACGAGGTCCGAGTCCCAGTGGGAACAACATCACTGGGGTGCAGGTACATCCAGCTGACGTGTCCAAAGTGGGACGAAACGCGTATCGTGGATTGTTCTGCTAGCGACAACCAACCAGCTTATCATAATTAACATTCAGGCAATATCGAGGTGTCCGCATAGGGGTCCATATGCCAATAGAGGTCGAACAATTCGATCCAACAAAAGAACGGAGAATAAAAAGTATGTCAGTAAATAGTAATTAAGTAAAATAGCAAGAAATTACATTTTAAACGTACATCTTGCACGTGTCTTCATGGTTTCATATTGCCCTAAAGTCAAAGCAATTGGGAATGGGAAGTCCGCTCCATAGTGTTACAATCTAACACCCATCCAGACCCGCTTATCTCCTAAATCCTTTATATGGGGACATAGCATTCCTTGTTAACTCCTTAAACATGAGAAACATTTTGCTTTTAAGCGTCAAAAAGTATTAATAATACCTTACTTGATACTGGCGTATAATTTTAGTTTCTAAATTTGTAGATTACTGACTATTTTCAACCTTGGCTCTTTCTATCACTTGCACTAAAAATGCCAAAAGCCTCTTCATACCAATAAACAAACGTATGGTCCACTCAATTCTGATTGGCAGCTGTGAAAATGGTAGGATTCTCTTATTCTACCAGGATATTTCGTCTAAACCTTCTCATTTCACAAGTGATTACCAATGTAGTTGTAGGAGACATCAATGCACAATCAGTTGACTCGGACAACCGAAGCTTCAATTAATTCGTTTAACCATAGGCTAGTTGAAACTTCAATTTTTTGGTGTATAGGAATGCAGCACACTGAGGCAGCAACTCGATACAATGATGTTGACTTTATCCGGCACCTTTGGGAAAAGTGGTCGTCTTCAGGCTCATACTAGCCATCTTGTGCCAAGCCGATGTGCCAGCTAGACACAATGTGTAGAAAGTGAACATGGCTGTTAAGTAGGAACAATGACAAAGGGCATTCCTGTCGTCAATTTTGATGACAACTCTCCGTAAGCCCTTACATGGCTGCATGATTTCGAGTAGAGCGCCTTGATTAGCACTGCAGACAAACTCGGCACTCTTTTCACAACAAAACACTTCACGGTCGACAGAGTTAAATGCTTCTTTCAGGTCCAGAAGTATGGTAAGCTCCAGTCGCCTGTGTATCAAAACCTCGTGGAGGGTGAAAATATGTGACCGCTGCACCCTAGTTCAGATCTGCCTGGTTTTCTGGAGCTTCAGTTAGGCGTCGGACAACCATGGACCCTAGAATCTTGGACACAATATTAGTCAAACTAACTCCCCTATGGTTGTCATAGAAACAATTCTCTCGTTTCATAGACTGGGATAATCATTTGATTTAAACCGGTCTGACGGTACTACCTCTGATTTCCGTACACTACCTAGTACTTCCATCACTCTTGTCAGAAAATTTTACCTTCATCCTTGCATCGTTCCAGGTTCGATACAGCTTTATTATCTTCAAGCAGAGTTGGAGAACCGACGTCTACGTTCCACTCAGGTTAAATGTTGGACAACTAAAGCGTTGCTGAGGGTCACTTGAACTGGGCTTCAAAGTGTTCCGCCCAAAGTTCTAGCCGTCCGTCCTGAGAGGT